CTGGTGGTAATGAACGACATACTTTCGGCCCATGTGCGGTAGAGAAGGATAAAGCCGCAATGTCTCTCTGACAACTGCGTCGAGGAATGGGAGATTTATTAGCGCATCGTATGACAAGCGAAGAAGTGGATTGTCGTGTTCGGAAAACGAAGAACCTTCCTGTGCGTGAGACGCAGACTTGATGGCATCACGAATTTCACTTCTCAATCGAGCTTGTGCGAGTGGGTTCTTGGCAAGTAGGTAAATGCAACGAGACAGAGCGGAGGTAGTCGTATCTAGGCCAGCAAATACCATGACGCTACAATTAGATGAGTTAGAGCATTTTCATGTTTATGATGAGCGGGTGGCTTACTTCATTTGTCCCAATAGCTCGGCATCGGTGAGTTGCTCTGAACTGGAAGATACAGAGTTTGCGTTGACTGTGTATGCCTTAGTAACATATGGACCAGAACATTTTGGAACTAACGCATGATGTCCATCATATCTTTCCTCCTACCCGATTTGAGATCATCAACTTCAGGCTGCACATTAGCGGGGGATAAAGTAAGTGCTGCCTCTAGTGCTGCCTTTTTCCCTGCAAAAGCTTTCTTGCTACCACTGTCCATGAGTTCAATGATTCGTCGCATCTCTCGCACATCCTTCATCTTGTCAGTGGGAATCCAGGGCGCCGTGACCAAATTCACAAGCTTCCCTATCCAGTATGATGAGAGGTTGCGCATAACCATAGGCACAATCGGCCGGAAATACAAGAGCTTTGTTATCATGGGGCTGCAACACCAAGTCAAAAATCACTACCGCTGTAGTAAGAAGATTGCTGTATTTTATACCACATACCTTATCTTCCGGAGTGCTTCAGTATATTCGTCGTTCCCCGTATCTAGAGTATTGCTTGGATAACCAAGAATCGCCTGACAAACGCCATCAAGTGCACCGCGAGATAGCAAAGGGAGCACATCGATCTCTTTGTATGCTGTTTCAAAAGAGTTAAATAAAACCGCCCATGTCGATGTGTAGTTTTGCATGTGAACGAACTTACACCCATCGTCCGGAAGTTTAGATGCGACGATAGAGGTCAGCTTGTGCGCAATGGGTTGCAATGTAGGTAGTAATTCTCGCATGTTCAAGGTCGAGAAGACAGGGTTGAGTAGCTTGCGCTGTTTTCGATGCTGCTCCCCTATACATGTTATTAGATACCTCTTATGGATCCCTGCCGTAATGTGATCTCGCACCGATAGTGGCTATTAGACCATCTCCGAATATTGCCTTGTTGTTCCTTTACAACGCGAAGTCAATATATTCGGCCGTGAAAGAGTAATAGAATACTGACATGATAAATACATCAGGTTCTTCGAAACTATGCTGATCTTTTATGATAACATGATACAATGCCAGTGGATCAGATAGATACACTACTTCCTGCGGAGAGTAGCATTCACAAGGATGTTGCAGAGTAACGGCGATTCACATCTGAACTTACTCCGTATAGACTTGATAGTTTGAGCGCACCGCCATACTGTTCAGCCAATTTCACGGAATAGTCAAGGCCACATTCGAACAATTTCCGGACGTTCCCTGGCATTCCCAAGTCAGCCACATGATAAGACGAGTGTAACCACAGACAAGAACCTGTCAGCCAGTGGGCCTCCTTGGGGCCATCGAGGTCGACGTTGTATTTTCTTGATGAGCCCCAAAATGTCTTCCAGAGAGTAAGTACCGAGAGGATTCCAATTCCACCGCATGTCACAGTGACTTGCCAGTGGGACAGCGACATCTTAATGGGAGTGTGGGTATACAATTCAAAGCTGTACAAACATCGACCGCGAGGTATTTATGCACACGCGTCTGCAGGACCTTCTTCTTAATGAAGTTGAACGTTCCAGGAGCTGTCCCAAGCATATGACAGCGCTCATCCTACTGATATTAAACGTAATCTTTTAGATCCGTTTTCATGTGACAGACAATGATACCGATGAACGAGGAATTGAATTGAGACTTGACTTGAGCTTTGAGCTTGAACATTTCGCATGGAATGGAGCACAGCATCAAGAGCTCAGAGTGACAAATTAAGAGTAGTACTACTTGTCACGCTCTGCTATCTTCATCCTTAGCTTGCTAGATAACTAGTACTTACTAGCCTAAGTATACGGCATAGTCCAAACCATTAGGTCCTGACGGAGTTCGAAACCTCCGATGACCGAGGCGGCAATTTTGTACTGCTTCGTGCACCGTTGACGACGACATTCTCGAACCCCCCCATACATCTACTAACTGCCGGATTGGCTGTATATCTTAGCTTCCAGTATTAGTTGCTTTCAGTGCAATAAATGGTCTGAATCAGAATGGCCATTTGCTTATGATTTCCGCAGAATGATGCACTAAATCCTTGTACTATTTATGTCCTATGAATTCTGCCCCTTCAGTGCGCTGCCATCAATGTGATGTGACGACCACATGAGCCCTGCAGATAGACCCACTACTTTCCGGTGCCCACCAAATGTTGCCTCCACATGCTGTGGTGACTTCAGACAGAACACTTTCACCGACTTCATCTGTCAACTCTTCCATACATATCGTCGTATGCTTTGCTATCATTGCCTTCGCTGATAGCGCTAACTTCTTTCAAGGCACTGATCTCCATAACCCATTTGCGCGTGCAACACTAGGGACGTTCAAAGCTGTTTTTACGAGCCGTTTTCGACGCCGTTTCCAAATTTGATTTCGACTGTCTGTGGAAAACGAACTGATTTCGACAACCTGCTGTTTTCGTTCGGCATCAACGGCACGGACTCTGAAATCCGGTGTTATCCGACTGCCGAACAACTTGTGCGCTGGCTGCGCTGGGTGCCGATGACGACGACAAGGGTGTTACTGGAGACGCGCCTCGCTGCTGCGCAGAACTCCGCAATGGCAAAGGCGAGCAAATGCCGCCCTCCGAATTCCCGTGCTAAGTCCACAGGCACTGACGCGAAGGAGAACTTAGATCCTCACGCTGTTGTGACTGCAACAGCAGACAAAAGAAGGACTGTTCTTGTAGCGTGAGTTGTCCAGTATTATTATGCACTGTACTACTGACTATTTTATGAGCCAGTTGGTCTAAACCCGAGAATCACCACCTTACAGACTCGTTACTCACTCTCATTGAGGAGAGTAACACCTATCGAAAGGCATTTGGATTCGCGTTGCTCCCCGGTAGTGGCAAGGTTGCTTCAACTGGAAACCGGCCTGCAAATCTCTACCGGCAATTGGCTACAGCCCTTTTTCTCGATCACGAGGACTCACCATGGAAGGATGTAGGCCTCAATGACCTTGCAGAAGCTGTCAAGAACCGTGTGGCGAAGTACATATTTTTCTTCAATTCAATTTTGTATCGAAAGCTTACAGTTATGTATACAGTGGACTGCGCAAGGCATTCATCAAGCACCGTGATTCAATGTCACAGACTGGTCAGGGTTTGATTGATGCTGATCGCGAGGATGAGATAACTTTTGGCAGCGAGATTTTTAATGCATGGGGTATGATTTAGCAAGTGTCCGTGATGAGTGCTAATACCTCTTTCTGACACAGACCAAGTGAAGAAAAAATTTCCGTGGTACAAACGGATGAATGCCTTGTATCGCGAGAGTCCTGCTGTAGACCGCTCTGCTTTGGCTAACAGTGCATCTCAACTCGATCTAAGTGTTCTCAATTGTTCGCAGGTGGGTAGTATTATGTCATGCCTTCGAGTACACTTCAGATACTATTGCAATGTTGTAGACTATGGATGATGACGAGATACCAATTGAGTGGCCTCGCTCGCCAACTCCCGAGCATACGAACGATGATGACAAATCAAGTATTGTCTTCACTCCTCCCTCTACACCTGCCTCGCGTGCTAAGCCAGAGCCACCTTCTGTCCGTCGTGCGAGTGGCCAGAAACGAAAGTCGATGCACAGCCATATCGAGGACCTTACCACCTCCCTTGGTGAATCGAGGGTGAAAGTTGCTCGAGTGCGAGAGCGAGAACATACTCTGCGAGCCCAGGCAAAGGAAGACCGAAAAAAGGCTGAGTTTGATTCTCGCCTCCAGTTTAAGGCTGCCGAAGCTGAACGACAGCGTGCACATGAGCTCGCTATGCTTGAACGGCAAATTGAACTCGAACATTTGCGAGCTCAACCTAACTTTGCCAGTTCCTCGTCTGCAGGCCTTCATCAGAGTGACCCCCCCCACTCTGGACCATCGATTCCGTGGGCCATTGATCCATCTCTTTGTTAGCTTGTTTTTTGCCTACTATTGTGTGTTCTTCGCAATTATCATCCTCTCCTTTCGAGTTCCACTCTTTTCTACCACTACTGATTAATATCCAGCCATTCAAGTAAATTCTCTTTCAGAGTCTCCCGTCGAATCTTTGCCTCCAACAGCAGAACTTCGCTACTTTCATCCCATACCCTTTCAATATCAGCTGCTCTTTCCCTTTGCTTTTGTCGCCACTCTCGTTCTAGTTCTCGTTGCTCCCTGACGTACTTGACTCCGCTTCTGAAAAATTGATCATTTGTGATGTTGCCCTTATCTTCGTGTTGGATTGCAAAACTGTGCAAGTGAATGCAGGTAGTGATCCAAAGTCCAGCATACTGAATCCCCTTTTGACCATCAATGTGAACTCGCAAGCCTTTCAAGGATGCCCACCGACCCTTCAGAAATCCAACACAATGCTCCGAACGCACACGAACCTTCGAAACATGATAGTTGAACATGGTGTTCTGTGGTGTGTCTTTCTCAGGCCTAATAATGAATAAAATGAAGTTTGAAATACAAATTGTGTTGCTCACTTTTTATATGGTGACTGACACCATGTTTGCAGAGGATAAGCTGAATCAGCCCAAACCCATTCGCCTTCATTGAGGAGCATATGATGTTCCTGAGGCAAGTGTGTCTGCTCCCAGGCTGTTGCATCATGCTGACTACCAGGGAGACCAACTCCGTAATCAATGATTAACAGGTCAGGTGTAGATATAAGCTATTGGTACAATATTAGATAAAATTCTCAAAAAAAAGGAGACCATACTTGGACATTCATCGAGTAATTAGACTTGCGGTCAAAGAAAACATTACCAAAGAATCCAGGCCGTTGTGAAAGAGGAATAAGTGTGCCATCTACCATTAGCCACCCATCACGCCAAGCTGGACATGAATTTTCCTCCACCCACTCCTTGGCGGTTTCCTTTGTTCCTGCATCAGGCCACTGAAGAGCTGAAGTCCGAAACTGTTCGGAACAGCAAGCCTTCATGACTCGGCTAGTAACCAGAATTGCAGTGCCAAATCCAACTCCAAACTGAAGTGCTACCTTCCAAGTGCTTGCAGCATTTCCATGGTGTCCAAATCGGTAGAGTGCAATTGCAAGTTGGCGATCAACGGACATCTGGGGATTACTGGAATTATTGTTGAAGACACTGTCCTGGGCAAGAATAGCGACTAGGTTGTCAAAGCAAGCAGGATATATGCGCAAATATGAGCGGAAAATCTCGGGGTGGTTAACTTTATAGGCAGATAAGAGGAGGTCGAGAAGTGCACTTGATTTAGGTATGGGTACACGCTGGTGGAGGTTTCGAGTTGCATAAAGGTTTCCGATGTCCATGATATACTGAGCAAGTGCTGTGGACTCCTCCGAATCTGAGTCGGAGTCCATCACAGAGAGATCTGATGATGATGTGCTTGATGATGAGGAATTATGACTGTCCAAGTCACTAGATATATCCATGCCAGAGCCCTCGGAGGATGAGCTGGAATCTGATTGGTCATCATACCTATCCTCATCCTCCTGCAGTTGACTTGCAATCTCGGCAATTATATCAGTGAAGAACCTGTTATGGATCTCGTCTGCAGCTTGCTGCCGCTCAGTTTGACGAGGCATGGTACAAGGTTAAGCAAATTCAAACTCAGCCATGCATGAAAACGGTTTTCATTGTATTTCTGACAGGGTGATCAAAGTTAAAACCTGTTTTCGGGTGATTCCGACGTTGAAATCAAATTTGGAAACGGCGTCGAAAACGGCTCGTAAAAACAGCTTTGAACGTCCCTACTAAGCGCTGACTCGACATCGGAACATGCCGGAAAGCTGCGCCCAGAACATCGTCACGGTCCCTTTTACTATCCACATTCTCTTTGGCATAACCCTGCTTTTCCCAGATCCTCACAGTCCTGCCCTCATATTCCATTCTGTGAGGATGCTGTGAGCGAACATTACAGTATGCGCTTCTTACTGGTACCTTCCGCCTAACCATGCCGTCGCCGTCGGTCGATTTCTGTTGTGGAACAGCAAGACTAGGCGCGCTGTTCAGCTTAACGAGAAGAATGTTCACGTAGTCGAGATTATTCCTCCATGGGTGACACTATTTGTTCCGTTATCGTCGATCTCATTGTCGGTTAAAGACTCGTCGAGTCGGAGTTGCACGATTGTGAGTTCCCTTCCAGTTTTCCGTATCTACTCTCCCTTGACCTGCGCGTTAGTCGAAGGCACAACGCAACGTCTATCCAATTTCTGGCTTTCGCTCGAAGAATACACGAAGGTGACGATGGAGGACCTTGTTCGGGCTGACCCATACATTCCAGCGGGGATGGTCATCGAACAGCACAAACAGTTTGAGGAAGGGAAGTTGGAGGCTGTAACGGAGATGCATGAGCATTTCTGGTCAATGACTCAGAAATAAAGCACACGTATTCGAACCGTCTGGAACGTAGTTTTCCTCTGCAATCAAGCTCGGAGTGTATAGTGATTGCCGTCCAACTTCTTCCCTCAAGAAGAATTCTCTTGAATTTGGGAGTGCTGCGCTGCTGGAATACGATGCAAAAATCTGAGTCCCAATTGGAAAAGCTACGTTGCATATAGTGGAAGTAGTCAGGGTCCTGTAAAGTCACTACAAATCCTCTGGATGCGTGATGAACAGTATTGCCTACTCGATGTAGTGTTCGTCATTTGACGCATCTCAAGTAGAGATATATGTGTGTATAGATGCCAAGGTACTCGGTCCAAACGGTTCAGCGAAAACTAGTTCGTCTTCTGGAGCAGCTTGCTCATGTCTGTAACTGGTACAGGGACACCAGCGGATACGGGGTGGATTGTCTTCTGCTCGTCGTCACCAACCATTCTCATTGTAAACCCGTTCGGCAATCGCACTGAGCCCACGTTTCTCTGTCCAGGACGCTGGAATGGATTGAATGCGATGGGGTATTCTCTGGGCCGCGTAAGATTGTAAATCTCCAAACCATTCATGCCTGCTGAGTGTAAGCTAGGGAGGGCATGGGCAATGACCTGGGAATTGCATCTCTTTGAAGTTCGGCGTATTGTTCTGCGTATTCGGTGACAACAAAAAACGTATTATCAGTGTGACAGCACAAGATGACGAACTGCCACGCTGGGGAACTAGTAAGCCCAGCATTCAGACCGACGATAGCGTCTGGTTTGCTTCCTAGGAGCAAAGGGAGCCGCGAGTCTCAATTTTCATGATCTCCATGAAGAAAAATGGTCACAGTGCTGGTTCCGCAAGGTGCAGGGCTGGTGTAGGTGTAGAGGATTGTTATAAGTGTTGTGGCGGTGACTCCAATCGAAGTCCGTCGTGCTGAGCGCTAATGTCCGTAGGCTCGGTAGGAAGTGAAAGCGCACAGAGGGGTTGCAGGACATTCACAGGCACAAGTGTTGAAAAAATGGCAGATGATGATGTGCGCAAAGAACGTGAGCTCGACGAATGGGACAATGGAAACATGTAAAGCAGGACAATAAAGACGATAATACATAGAAAGAGCTTCGTACTTCTCTCCGACACAGTTCGCAAAGTCGGACGTCCAACCTTTAAAGTTTACATACTAAATAACGTCAGTCGAATGGTAAACCGGTAACAGGTCACATGCACAGCATCACTCTGTATGTCTTTCCTGTTCACGTGACTTGTAGGGATATCCGACGTGGAACCTGCGATTACTTATTAGATATATGAAGGCATCACTTTCAGAGTCCCAGTTAACGACGAAGGCAATTTACAAACTCCAAAGCGTACACACATTCTTTACTAGCCTCCCAGGAATCTTTCCCGCCACTATACAGACTCCCAACTCTTCACATGCTCTGTCTCTGGCGTAGAGCATATCTGGCTCTCGCATTCTCCGCGTTGGCCGCTCTAGGCGTCAGCCCAAGTTCATTTCTTGGAGACAGCCTTATACGACACAATCCAGTTCAGAATGTTCTTGAATACGAGTCTGTTCGTGGAGAACCACTGTGTCAGCATTCGGTATGTAGTAGTACTTATGTTTACGACTGGACATATCATTCATCCACGTGTCTCTGTAGACAACTGGTCCGATAGAAACTACCTTATGTGATTATGAGACGATAGAGAGTGTGAATGGGGAACTATATAGTGTGCTCAGCGAGTTAGTGCAGATGCCATTCTTCAAGTATTTCCAGGTACGTTCTAGACTCGGACAGCTTCGAGCACCACTCAATCGTTTATCAGGCGGACCTCTATCGCGAATGCCCTTTCTGGCAAGAGAATGGGTTCTGTATGAATAGGGAATGTGGTATCACTACCGTAGATGAGGTATACCCAATTTGTCATCTCATTTGGGTTCACTCAGCTGAAGTCCTATTATAGAGTGAGATACCAGAGCGGTGGAGAGCGGCTGCTCTGAGCAAGATAGAATTGCCACCTTTGGAAGAGGTAGGTCTTGTGCATTCTGTGAGACGACGTTTTCATAATTTGTACAGCGTGTCCTTCTACCTGGATGCTATTATCGCGATTCTGATTTTTGTTTCCTTGATGATATGACAGGTGCGTATTTCATCATATTCTGATTTTTGTGTGATAATGATTCTTTTGTAGAGGGTGAATACGTCGACCTGACGCTAGTCCCCGAGCGTTATACGGGTTACTCAGGTCCTTCTGCGCATCGGGTCTGGAAATCGATATACGAGGAAAATTGCTTCGGCCTTTCAGAGCTGAACCTGTTGACTACTCGTTCTCCCGCACAAGTCACACTTCCTGATACCCTTACCGATGTCTTAAGAGAGCCTATTAACGGAGAAAACGCAGATGGCGAATGTCTTGAGAAGAGAGTGTATTACAAGATTATATCTGGGTTGCATGCATCCATCTCAACTCATATCTGTCTGGAATCCCTTAATCAAACAACCGGAGAGATGGTATGCAGTCCAGCTGAATTTCACCTCCAGCTCATCATATGTGACAGGGCCCTAACCTCGAATGCTTCGTCACCCGCATTGCCTCTCACCCTGAGAGACTTCAATATATTTACTTCAACGCTGTGCTCCTCCTACGCGCTGTATCACGCATTGGTCCGTACCTACGTGACTATGACTATTGTTCAATGTCTATGCCCACGCCTCACGACCACGTGCTCCCGGAAGACATTCAGGAGGAAGCCAAAACACTTGGGACTCTTAGCAAAGTCATCGATATTGCAGAGCATGTCGGTAAGTTTGACGAACGGGTATTGTTTAGAGGCGAAAACGCGAACGTGAGCAATATCTTAAGATAATATTCATGCACTGAAATCTTATCCATCTTTCTAGATCTTGAAAGAAGAGTTCAAAATGCATTTCCGAAATGTTTCGAGGATCATGGACTGCGTTGGATGTGACAAGTGCCGTTTATGGGGCAAAGTCCAAACTACCGGAATCGCAACCGCGCTCAAAATTCTCTTTGAGATGGACGAGACTGCTCTTGAGTAGGTAGTTGACGCATAACCCTTGCATAAGCTAACCTCCTTCAAATCAGTCCGCACAAAAATCATCATCATCTACAGCGGTCGGAAGTTGTTGCCCTTATCAATACTCTACATCGCTTCAGCGAGAGCTTGCAGGCCGCGGAAATCTTCCGAGATATGTGGAAGAAGACTGCCGAATCCGATGCCAACCACCTCATCGAAGAGGCTGAAAGGGCTGTTGTTGGCAATGTATGTTCTTCGTTATGTTCTTATTGCGGCACTCACAGGCCGCCTCAGCCACGGAAGTCACCTACGCACGCATCAACGTCTAGAAAATCGCATACTCCTCATTCACCCTCTCCTTCACCCTCATACACAATATCCCTGGAAACAATGCAGCGCTACCTCCAACGATTAATACGGAGGTGCAAAAAACACACCCTATCTTGCTTTAGCATATTCTTGCAGGTATGGCAGCAGTTACATAATGCCATGTTTCCGTTGCGGACAGAGCTATGAGCTATCCGGACTTATTTGTTTAATCTGATTTACGAGATGTAATATCATTGTGATAAGCAATATCACGTATTGCTCCGCTTTCATTTGGTTGGAGATAACACTTCCTATTATCTTCATGGTTCCCACCAGGCTAACTCCCCTTTGATATCGATACTTTGCGGCCAACACTCGTGGTAACTGCATCCACTGGCGTGGAATCGTGCTCGATGTCCGGAAGTATTTCAATATCGACAGATGAGCCATCAATCGTGCCAATAAGACCTCACGAATCGAATGCAGGTGCGGATGCTTATATCAGTGAGTGATTCTGTGGCATGCAGCACCCCATCTCAGATTACTAGCTAATGGAGGGGCTTCATCGACACTTGTGGATCGATAGCCAATATGTTATCAGTATTGATCATTGCAGAGACAAGATGCCTACTCTTGCAGGCGAACCAAGGGAATTGGGGGACATGTCAGGATGGAGTTACCGTGCGATGCCAAGGACTCGCATCTGCGCCCTGAACGTACAGTGTAATAACCCTGGTGAGATGAAGAGGATCGCAGCGGTTTCACGCGCCAATACGAGGTTCACCAGTGACCCTGCGCGGGGAACAGACACCTGGAGAAGACTCAATCGAGCTCGCTGATACTTCGCCTGTGCGCTGAGCGTTCAGTCGAGATCGCTAGTCTGGTCAAGGAGTGGAAATGATCTCGGCGAACAACTGAATGCTGAACTTTGAAATGTTTCACTGAGTTATATAACATCAAACGTTGAACGACCGTATATGGGCGATGGTGACACATGATGATATTATCACCCTTAACTTGCAGCCCTTAGCGTGCACTGAAACAAGTGAAAATAGATTTGCCTTCTGATCCTTAGTGCTACGAGTACTACACTAGTAGTCCCTCCAGTCTCCGAAATACCCTCCGAGGGTTTACGCGTGCGTGTCCGTAACGTTATACTGATAATCCGAGCAGAACGTTGGTAAAGAACGAGTACTGAATTACTAAAACCATAATTACAGGCTGCTAGAACAACTTCGACTCCAAAACACATGTCCTTTCGCCGTGATGGCGAAGATAAAACGTACAAGCTAAGATCCTGCTATTCCCATTTCAAGATAACGCGTAAATGTGCATGCTGTCATTCGGGATCAATGAGGTTTAACTACAATAAATTTGATGTCTGCCAGCCTTACTCGTCCCTGACCCTCTTTTTCTTTAACGGCCATATTCTAACCGTTGTGCTCATATAATCGTGACCTAACCCCATTTTTGCCTATATAAACCCCAAGCATCTACTGACTTTTTCCCCAGCTTCTTTGCTCTAGCCATCCGCATAGTTGTCTTCATCGTAGCTTCTGGTGTCAGACACCTTCATACTCAAGAGTTTTCCGAGCTCTTTGCATGTACTCGAACCAACTCGGTAGTCCCCACAACCCCCACCGAGGCTCCAAGCACTCCTGCGCAGGCTTTTTAGCTGCTCATTGACTTCGCCTTCATCGTTTTTGACCCAATTTCACTCGTATATATACTCACCGCAATGTCTACTCAACTTCCCGCCACAAACTCTTCGGGTTACAATACCCCCGATTCTGAATTGGAGTCGATCGTCCCAATTCATCCGACCGCCGTTCGTCGCCCTAACTACATCACTGTTCAGTCCGAAAATACCATCTACACCGACGACCATATCACCGCAAAGTACCTCAACCGTGGTGCTGATGTCGTAGTCTCAGATGGCCAGTTCACTGTTTTGCCTACTGTCAAGCCTTATGAGTTCCAAACCACCCGCAAGGTTGGTAAGACTGGGTATGTCATTTATTGATTTCCAAATATGTTGCCATCTGACGTGGACGCGCAACAGACTTATGATGATCGGTTTGGGTGGTAACAATGGCTCCACTCTCTGCGCGACCATCATCGCGAACAGGCACCAGATCGCTTGGCACACTAAGGAGGGAATTCAGCAGCCTAACTACATTGGCTCTGTCCTCCGTGCATCCACCGTTCGCATTGGCACTGAGCCGAGCACCGGTAAGGAAGTCCACGTCCCCGTCTCCGACGTGCTTCCCATGGTACACCCCAACGACCTTGTTCTTGGTGGCTGGGACATTTCCGGCCTGCCCATGGACAAGGCGATGGAACGTGCCAAGGTGCTCGATTATGATCTTCAGCGCCAGGTCAAGCCGCATATGGCTCTGCTCGGTCGTCCCCTTCCTTCCATCTACTATCCCGACTTCATTGCTGCCAATCAGGAAGCGCGTGCGGACAATGTAGTCCCTGGCACCGACAAGCAGGCTCATCTTGAGCACGTTCGTGCCGACATTCGCCGCTTCAAAGCCGAGAACCAGCTTGACCGTGTAGTCATATTCTGGACTGCGAATACGGAACGCTACAGTGAGATCATCCCTGGCGTCAATGACACGGCCGACAATGTGCTTGCTGCGATTAAGACTTCCCACTCGGAGGTGTCTCCCTCTACGCTCTTCGCTGTTGCTGCCATTCTCGAAGGCGAGCCATTTGTTAACGGCGCTCCTCAGAACACGTTTGTGCCTGGTGTCATTGCCTTGGCTGAGCGTGAGAAGTCTTTCATTGGCGGTGATGACCTGAAGTCTGGTCAGACGAAGCTGAAATCCGTGCTTGCGGAGTTCCTCGTGAACGCTGGTATCAAACCGCTCTCTATCGCGTCATACAACCATCTTGGCAACAATGACGGGCATAATTTGAGCGCGGAACCCCAGTTCAAGAGCAAGGAAATCAGCAAGAGCAGTGTTGTGGATGATATGGTGGATGCCAATCGTTTACTCTACAAACCTCCTGTTGTGGGTGCAACGGGCAAAGCGGCCAAAGGCGAGCACCCTGATCACATTGTTGTGATCAAGTACGTGCCTGCAGTCGGTGACTCGAAGAGAGCAATCGACGAGTACTACTCTGAAATCTTCTGTGGCGGGAGACAAACCATTAACATCTTCAACGAGTGTGAGGTATGAAATGCGTTTTTTTGATATGTCACCAGATGCTCATTGCTGTTGCAGGACTCTTTACTTGCGACGCCTTTGATTCTCGACTTGACTATCCTCACTGAGCTGCTTACTCGCGTGAAGTACCGCGGGGAGGGTCAGGATGATTTTGCGCCCCTTCACTCTGTCTTGTCGTTGCTCTCATATATGTGCAAGGCGCCTCTCGTTAAACCTGGTGGGCATAGGTTCCGCTTATAGTCCATCATCATGCTAATGCACGGTCCCAGGCACCGATGTTGTGAACAGCCTCGGCAGACAGCGCAACGCGCTCGAGAGCTTCTTGAAGGCCTGTATTGGGCTCGAGGGTAACAGTGATCTGCTCTTGGAGACTCGTATCTGGTAAACGTCTACCGTCTTTTCCTCACTACCATTGAGTAGACCTGGTTTCAACAACCGAATTATGTTTTGTCTCGACTTCTCGGTCTTCAACTGACCTCCAGCGTTTTACATTTTTCTCTATTACTACGAGCGAGTAGATCGTACCGTTGCGTTCCAAATGTGATCTTAGCTTTTCATTTTATATGCCGGTGTGGGACTCGTGACGTGGCTGGTATATATATATATATATCGATGCACATCAATGTTGTGCAAGAAGTAATACAAAAGCAACAGCAAGGCGCTGTAGTGTGATTTGCAAGGCTTCGAAAACGTGCTAAAGTGGAATTCAGTTACCTTGATCAACAGAAAAACTGCATTTTGTTAGGTGACTCAAGCCGGGTCGTCTAAGATGGCGTCGTCATATCTACTAAGGCTACGTCTTTGGGTTTGACATATACTCCCAGCTCAGCGAGCATGACATATCCATTAGCCCATCAAAAATCCAGTGATGTCGGCGTCGCGATTCGCGCGATATTAGTCGAGATGGGCGGTGTTATTACGTAATAAGAAAGTCCTAGTGCCGTCAACTCCCACGCCCGAGTGAGTTACTACCTTTCGCATCGTTGTTCTTTTCGTCGCTTTCACCTTCGTCAACGGGCCATATGTGAATTCGAAGGGATGATAATACATGAAGAAGACGACCTCCTAAATTCAAAGGATCCTCCCGTCACAACTTCCGCCCTTCGTTATCCAGAGCGCGCGGCAGGCCGTCGTCCATTCAGTCCTCTACCTGACTATGAAACCTCTCAGGCCTTGGCCTTCAATCATCTCAACAACGACTCCTTGGTCACCTTTTACAAATGTCCTCCAAAGCGGCGCTTTGTCGACTCCAGGTCCTGGAGAGCTGGCATAGCCGCTTTGGGCATGTATATTATCCTTTCAATCGTCATTGGCATACCTCTCATCGTTAAGGTCAGTATATCTATTGTATGCGCTACCTGTCTTCTCAAACTACTCAGACCTCCCAGGAAAACAGTAAAACATTCTCCTACACCTCTAACTATGTTGTTCCTTGGCTAGAGAAGATCACTACAACACACTACGTCACAAATATCAACAACCTCTCAACCTCCCTTGCAAATGGAAGTTGCAACGGATGGGCAACTATCGGAAAACTCGACGATACGCAACATTCTACGGTTGGACAGTGCGTTTACGCTCAATCACTGGGGGAACAAACATGACTCTCTTTCCTAGGCTTCTAAATACCGTATCACCTGACGGCCGATTCAGCATCACATCGAATGCATCGTACCCGAGTAGCATGAATATTGTCCTGGGTGATCTGTTTGTCGGCATAAACCCCAATACCTCCGTGACCGATACAACCATATCGGTCCAGATGCAAGCATCCAACGATGACCTCTTCGACCAGACACAGGTTTGCTTTGCATTGTCAAACAACGCCACCGGCCTCGCTATCTATGTATGTGGCGTTATTCTGCTGCAATGAATCTCATACTGACATGAAGCAGATACCAGATAACATGTCCTTCAACGATCAACTACTCTTTAACATCACACTGCTGTACCCACAAACATCTATAACTGCCCAAGTCGACTCTTTTGCTACCTACCTACCTTTCTTCACCCAAACGTTTGCCGATTTTGGCGGCTATGTCAATTTCGAGAAGGTTTCTATAGAAGGCCCTGTTTCCAGAATTTTTGTCGGTGTAAGTGGTCATGTTTATACCTCATTCATTTATTTTTCATTTGCTTTGAAGTCTATCGAAGCCGGCCAAATACTAGTTGAAACATCTTTAGAGCCAATTTTTGGTCAGTTCGCAGCTTCACGTTCCCTTACTGTGAGCACGATACAGGCGTATGTATTCTCCTCATCTTTGAACGCATGCAACTGATATATTTCTATAGACCTATCAATGTTAACGCCTCCCTCTTCAATGATCCAGATTCGAATTTCCCAACATATCTTGAAGTCAACACTGGCAATAGGTTCGTGGCTCGTAAATTCCCAGTTTGTTTTCTCAACCAAACATCATTTTTAGCAACCTGACGGCCAACGTCACGCTGAACGCACCCAACAGAAGTCCTCCCCAGCGTCCGAACTTCATTGCAAATATGCGTACTTTTTATGGCCAAGCTACAGCGAGCTTCGTACACGATCCGACATCACCGCCAACGGCTATAAAGTTGCGCCTGGAGAATGACCTTGGTCCAGTCGATGCCACGTTTGATCAGTACTTTGAGGGCCTTTTTCAGGCCAGCGCGAAATTAGGCACTGTATCAGTGATTCAGGGTACTGCCTCTTCTTTGGATCCATTCGATGCGACTTTGGCCCGCAGCTTCTTACTGAATTATGTTTCTGACACACGGACATATGGTTGGATAGGCTGGGGACTAGATTCAGGGGGCTTTGTGGAGGAACAAATTGGTGAAGTGGTCGTGGAGACCTCGATCGCAAATTGCACTTTGTTTTTTGATGGTTGAGGTCCGCACCGCTTTTCATTCTCTTTTAAGGCTCACTTGGGTTTTGTGGTTCGCATACGCACAGACTATTCATCGATGTACAGACTACCACACATTCATCGCTCGTTGGAGATGCTGTGATCTTTTTGCACTTCAGTGTACTATCATTTTACTTATCATACCTAGCAACGTACATAATAGAAGCAGCAAAAGCCGGACATGTGCATGAATCATGATCCAATCCGAATCATCGTTGATGGCCGTTTGTTCAGGAACATTGACTTTTGGGGTTTATCGGGTTCAGCCCATCAATTTTCAGGGTCACTTTGTATATACCAGTAGGACTTACATCATGCTCGGGTTTCGACTCTCGGCCCTTTCATTGATTTATGAAAGGTATTACTAGGGGTACAACCATCACGCCTTCATTATTTTTGGGAGGACCCATCGTGCGCCAACAAGGCGCACACAAAAGGCACGGACTTTCACCGAGACGCATGTCACCCACGATTGAATGTACGGCTGGGACTTTCCCGCAGGCACGACAGAGATCTTGAACCGTTGGGGCGAGGTGGAGCATCAATGGATAGTCTGACGGCGGATCTGAAGCATGGGCGAGTCTGTATATGAAATTTAGGGATTTTATGGGGTTAAAACGGAACGGTGCATGCCTGATCTGATCGATGACGAAAAAGTGTTCGCAATTGCCTTGATGCAGTATCCAGTAAGGTTGGTGAATTCTCAACGTGAGCGCGTTGAAGGTAGTTTCACTGACAGAGGTCGAGGCTTTTTTGATTTTTGGCCGTTTGTCTTCAGGCGATTTTTGAATGTGATCTATTAATTTTCTGTAGAAGGGGAGTTAGGAATCTGTTGATAACAGTGCTGTTCTGACATACTCCGCATAATCGGCAGTTTCTCTGCCATCTCCGTAGATAAGGTCCTCGATGCAGAACAAACACCCGGCATGCTCTCCTGTTTGATTGGTGACATTATAGCCAGATACATCTCCTTCGGCGTCTAGCTTTTCCACTGGCATATTACTGGAGGCACATGGAAGGACGCGTAGTAGATCACCCAATGTTTGCGTTGACAGTACAGCGTGTTGTGTGGAGCGCGTTAAAAAGCTTGGAAGATGAGAGATACGGTTGTAAACTGTTAGCGAGATGACAGCGTTTGGACATGAAATTGCATCGGGGCTGGTGCTCCTGAGAGAGTCTGGTGTCGAGCTACGCGTCGCGCCGACGTCCCCATGATCAAGGGTACGGAGGACGCCTGTCCCCATCTTCTTGGGTGCGTCGAGCGCGTTATAGTCAGAATTTTTAGCAGCACGCATACAAAGCGCTGACTCCATGGTCAATCTACGCAGAGGTAAGAAAATAGTGATATGCAGTAGAATATAAGTAGAATATACATACCGCCAACACCTGAGGTTGACAGCGTCAAGCTTCTCTTGGAGCTGTAGTGCTTCTGGGGAAGATTCGCTACCTTCTGGAGCAACATGACGTTTGCGCTTTCTTCCTTTTGGTACTGGTGCATCTGCTTGGCCGCGCACAGACGCTACTGTGGACTCGTGCTGGCGCAGTACGTGCGCTGACAATACAGGGTTATCCCATACTTGTTCAAGAGATGACTTGAGGTCTGAAATGCTACTCTGATATGCAATGAGCGCTAATATGGTGTAGTGGGGAGAGAGGCACCTTTCATTGATCTCTGCTTCGACAACATTTCTGTGCTCGGGAGTTAGTTGCTCCCATGAGGCATTGGTAAAGGATCCTGATAGCACTGCAGAATTTGCGTGCTGTAAAAAATCTGCGACATTGATAAGCTGCGATGGTGGGCCAAAGGAAGAGTCGAAACCGCGACTCATATCAAGTAGGGACAGAGATTAAAGTTGACTTGATGTGGCAGTCTTTAGTTAATGAAAACATTTAACTTCAGATCAACACGTGACTGAGACGCGTCGCGTCTGTCAGTCGTCAACCTCCTCCTTCTACCTATCTCCGAGTCACCACTCTGGTCCCAGACTTTGCAGTAAATCATCCGCAAACTTGATAACTCGAGGGTGGCTGGAAGCCGACACCGGCGGGCGCGTCAATTGCTGTCCACTGTCAGCTCAATGCCCAATGCTCATGACGCTCTGTGACGTATGTGGGGTCCCGTGAGTACTAATGAGGCCGACACTCCAAAACGTATAAATACCTGCCCGCCCGAGCTTTCTCTTCTTCATCAGCCTTGACCTCCCCCGAGTGCCAACGATCTTTCATCGCATCTGACCGTCATCTACGTGTCGCGGCTGATTATATTTCGTTGTCTTTGTCACTGATCGATGCTCGTTTGTTGTTTCTTGCTCTCTTGCTATCCCGCTGTCTCGCTACCTCGCTGGCTTGCTATCCCGTCTAGTTCTCTCGTCGTCTTTATCTCGCTATTATTCTCTCTCGCCGTTCTCGTTCACCCAATGTCGCGCGCCACTGGTAGAGCAAATATCTTCGCCGCCAACAGAATCTCGTTTTTACTATCTCTCTTTCTAGATTATAGAAAAGCTCGATGTTGGCCACATTGATTAAAAAATATCCTTTCACTCTCTCGAACCTCGCCCTCGCTGGCGTTGCCTCTATCCTGAAATAGGGACCTCCGCACCCGCCGCACCTCTATTACACCCGTCTCTCCCCTCCTGACCTCCTCTGAAGCTATTCGATACTCTTATACCCGCTCGTCTGGCTAAGTTGCACACAGTGGACCCATTCCACGTCGGACACTTCAAGCATCATGAATGACGTGGGGCAATTCTGCATTCAAGCTTGATAGCGTGGCATAAGTAAGTCTCGTTTCTTCAACTTCTTTGAGCGTCAGTTCAACTCTCACTCATCATTTCTTTAGTCTGACCACAGTTGCTCTTTCTACTGGATGACGGATGCGCTACCATCTCCCCGTTCTTTTTCTACTTACGCCGAAAGACTGTCATCTGACAGTCGTCGTTCTTTCTACCGATCGCGTATGTGCCTCCCGTTTCACTTTTTCTTTTCCTTCACATCTATCGTCCGACCAAAGTCACTCATTCATATACCCCTTTCACCTTTCTCTTTCTTATTATCGTCTGACCCAAGTCACTCCTTCGTATATCTATTTCACCCTTCTCTTTCTTATTATCGACCGGCCCAAGTCACTCCTTCACATACCCTTCTCACCTTTCTCTTTCTTATTATTGTCCAACCCAAGTCACTCCTTCGTATACCCCTTTCACCTTTTTCTTCATTTTCCGATGCCTATCTCTTCTTCCAAACCTCGAGCCCGCAAGTTCACTCTTTCACTCTGTCCGGACCCTAGAAGGGCCTGCCTATTCACGCACCACCGTGTACTTCGCCCATTCGTGCACCGCGGTTTACGCGCAACTTCAACAGCCTATCATTATTTCTGTCCCGGATTTCGCTCATTCGTACACATGCAGCTCCAGCCTATTATTATCTCTACCTCGAACTTCGTTCATTCGCGCAACACAGTCTACATGCAGGCAGCTCCAGCCTATTCCATTATATCTGCCCCGAACTTCGCCCATTCGTGCACCATGGTTTACACGCAGCTCCAGCCTATTCCATTATTTCCTGGCTTCGGTTATTCGCCCACTACGGTTTACATGCAGCCCCAGCCTATTTCATTATCTCTGCCCCGGACTTCGCTCAATCGCGCACCACGGTTTACACGCAGTTCAGCCTATTACTGTACGTTACGACTTCTTTTCCACACCGACGCTTCACCTCGAACAGACCTCCATCCGCAACATCGTTCACTCGAGGCTCATGATATCCATGCCCGGTCCGTTCACAACTCATCTTATGCCTTTATACATTATGCCATTTCATGACTCACGACACTTTATGACGTATGACACTTATGACTTCCGATACTTTCTTATTCATCGTCCGACCCATGTCACTCCTTCATATACCCTTTTCTCCCTTCTCTTTATGCCACTTTTCCCTTAGTTCCCTTGTTGCCTTATGCCTTATGCCACCTTTTCCTTTATGTCCTATGCCACTTATGCCTTATGCCATCTTTTCCTCTATGCCCTATGCCACCTTTTCCTCTATTATTCATGCCTTTATGTCACCATATGAAAACAAAACACGATTTTCGACCTTCGCGCTATGACATCAGGGCAGCTCAGCGGCCCGGGCAGTAAGCACTTCGGTCTTAGTATGCGATGGTGAGACGGGAGACAATTCCTGCTACATACATCCGCCAACCACCGAAATTTCAACATAACTGACAAAGGACAGTGAATCTCAACGACATATATTGTGAGAGAAACAACCCGTTTGTGTCAAGTCTACGAAAGATGAGCGATCAAATGTTATGACGTTATGGATGAAAGCGTCCATAATTTAATTGGTCAATAATCAGCCAGAAGTAACATAGATTTTAGGTACGCATAGCCGCCAGCACGGGATGGAGCATCGTCCACCACCCTGTCATACTGCGCTGCCTTCGAAAAAAGGTTTGGAAATAGCTTTCACTCCCAGCTTGGCATCCAGACACAAGATTCAATACTAGCCTACCAATAGTGAGAGGAGATAGCGGACTGTACGTCTACCCTGGTGGTAAGGACATCGAGGCAGTACTCGTCGTCCCGGACGTTGGTGGAGAAAATACCAGTGTGAATGGTCTTGTGCAGGTTAAGCATCAGCCGAGAAATGAGAGTAACGGATATACTGGAAGTAATATTTAAAATCGATCTGTATTTGTTGCATTGAGTACTCACCAGCTGGTGAAATTGCACAGACTGCCTCTGATAGCAACCTTGCTAATTGTCACGAAATAGTCAACAGAAGATGCGAGTTTGCATGCTCACTGAACCAGACTGATTCAAACTGTAAGCGCTGTGCAGCTCTATCGATATCAGTTTGTTGACTCACATAGTATGTCAGGATGTTTGGTATATGAATCAGTGCCATAGCTCTGAAGGCAGTATCCGGATCAAATTCGGTTGAATCATGAGTTCACTAGCAACCTTACCCAAAATACATCGTACCTGTGTTCCATTAATTCAGTGTTCACAATACAGATGCAACGAATAATTCACCATCCTGAAATATGACATCCATGATATTTCTCGTGGTTGTCAGAGATAATCGTGGTAAACCCCTAGTTTTGCAGATTCTGTACACTGTGAGGACGAAGATAAGTAAATCGAAAACAAAGAAGGCCACCCATGCCAGCCCAATTCCTGTATTTGAATAAAGTCGTTGCATGAAATGGGACCTAGAATTCACTGACGGGCGGCTCTGCAACAACTTTTAAGCAGGCGCGCAGAATGGTGAAGAGGATGACATACGTCTCTGCTGTATATACTTCATAACAGCCAATTCCTGGCAAGATTGCTGCATCACCTGAAACTTGTGCAAAAGTGACGGCCTAGAAACAATTAGTATGTTCCAGAGTCCAAAGTCTTATGCAAGCACGTACACAAACCACTCCCGCAAGAGCAATGATAATGATGGTCATCCAGGTAAGCAGATATTGGCTACAACCGTAGAGAGCATAAGTGCGCATAGCCATTATAACTGAACTTTTTTTAACATGTGAACTTCTCGCAATAAACTTTTACTCACCGCAAATGATGATTCCTTGGAAGAAGATGTCCAGTTGTCTGGATATCGTATATTTCGAACAACTGAGTCTTTTTTGAGCAAAATAACAGATATTCAAGGAACCAGAGAGAAACTAACGCCTGCAGAAAGAAGCTGTGAGCCCACAAGTTGAGTACATGCATAACAAAATATAGAACCTCATCTGAAACAAGAAAGAGTTCCACAACCATGCTGCAGATAATGCCGAGAAGGGCGAGATAGCGATTGAGCAGAAATAACGTTGCAGCTAGTCCTTTTGGGCGACGCCAGATGAAAGCGAATTCTTCTGGTAGAGTCAACACATGGTCGTATATCAGGATACCTACAATATCATGTCACGGTCCTAAAGATAAGAGGCGCTGAAACTTACTGTTCCCCGCCAGGACGGCGTAAGTGCACAACGATCTGGAGGTACTTATTCAATTACTGGCATCAGGATATATGGTAAATCTATGCGTGTATCACTCACATCTGTTGTGCGTCCAAGTCAGTAGCAAACATTATGTTGAGGCAAATTGGCAATATTCAACAGAAGGCGTTAAGAATTTGCGGCGACCCGTTAAATGTATCAGCCGGGATGATTTTGATGGTCCTTCCCACAATCTCAGGCCTCGAGTACTAGCCTGAGTTAGCTGTAACTTACTAGTGTCATGTATGCAGCTGGCCTGCAAGTAAAACGCATACGGTCAACTTCGCAGAAATAGGCGAGTAGACGATTCCAAAACATTCTGGACGTACTCATATAATGTTGCGCATGGTATACTACTTACTATGTGCTCCGAGTCCAATTCGGTTGGTGTAAGTATCACTGATTTGTGTGTGAATGGTTATTCGATGAGCCGCCATCGCCACGGTTACGATGATCCGCTAATCCGAATTCAAAATGAATTTACGTAAAATAACGATTATTACGCAAAGAATATATAAATTCGAACTTACCTTAGTTATCCCAGGTCGCGCACCTTTGCTTGCTACCTGAACAACCTCGGTCGCCCCTAGGCAGACGCAACGTCTTCGCGATCCTGAATCATGGGATATCTGAAGGAGTATGTTGATCGAGGAGTGCAAACTTCATGTTCCTCACAATCAGCAACAACACCAGACTTGGCAGCGGTTGGTGCTCCTCAAGCTCCCTTCGATGACTGTGACTCTGGGCCGCTTTTACACGAGATCACAATCGGGTTGCCATTAGTCGACCCAGAATTATCTCCTTCACATTTTTCTGTTCGTGATAACAACGCATATAGTCGGTCCAATCTCCAGCACGATAGCCCCGTTAGCCCCATGTGCGCACCCTTGATATCTCGTCGCGTTCCTAGGCGCAAATTATTCTTAGTCGAACGTCACCCAGAAGGAAAAACCGTCGAAAGACGCGTGATTTCTATGCCGGACGACATGTCGGCGCAGCGTATCAAGTTGGACTCTCAAGATAGCATGCGGGTGGTTTCCATGCCCGAGTATCTCGCGGCTGCTGTTGACCTGTCTCTGGATTCGATTGAGTCTCCTTCCGCGGGCGCATCCTTCGGGTCGTCGTACATTGAGAAACGCCATCGAGTCAGAGTTTGTCCCCCGCCTTCAGATGTCCCGCACACGCCTTCTCCACCGTCATCTCCCGAGTCGATACTCATCATCGACAGTCATGCTCAGCTTCCTGATGGATTCCTTCGACAAAGATATTCCAAAAAGACGGCCTCACCCGGACATGGTTTGTGTTGACTAATAATTGCGACGCTGAGGTTCATTTTTCTCCATGTAGGCTGGACAACATGGGCAAGTTCTCCTCCCCGCCCTATCCCAGCACTTCATGGTCCGCTTTCTCTTCCATATGCCCGCTGTCCATCGTAAGTGAAATATGTAATGAACGCAAAGTGGCTTACCATTTCTAGGGGAGCTGAAGGAACGATCATCGAAGAGCCAGGCAACGTTTCTCGAATGATATGGGGCTTAGGCCAAGACGAATCTTGTCAATATCGTGGTGATAGTGAGCATACGGATGACGACATACGTCATAAGTCCGCCCCTCACTCCCAGGTTACACCTCAAACGCAAAAGAGACACATACTCCAGAAACCTTATCAGATACGAGCGGCTGCGAATAACAAGAAACCGTTCAAAGGGGTCGCTAGCGGAGGAACTTCCACTGTTCATCATCGCCCTGACCATGAACGTCGCATTCATGGACACTCACAGACACCCCATCTACGTGAGTCAAAAGCTGAACCAGCCATTAGCGGTCTTCCTTTCTCGGGTTCTTGGCGACCCGAAACTGGTATACCGACTGTTCACGAATCGGGGGCCCACGAAATAGGCTTTGGCTCACCGTTCAACGATCAAAAACTTCTCTTGGATTTGCAGCTCGCATTTGCCCAGCAGTCGCTTCAGAACACTGCACTCAATCAAGCTTATCCTGAAGGTCTCAAGCCCGTTTTTCCGGTTTCGAATCATTCTCATGCCACTCCGGTTTACCCGAAAATCTTCGTGGAACCGCGTCTTAATGAGGTGGTCAATGCATCACAGCGTCAGTCCGCCATGGAGATTGCCCAGCAGTATCGTCAACGTCAGGAGTTCCGTCTCAAGCAACAGGCTGCTCTACCTACTCCGCCAAGTTCTTCCTCTCCCCAGTGGTCATCAAACTTCTCGCCTTATCAGTATCCTTCCGTATCTCCGGAGATGGACATTCAAAACACATTAGGTCTACCTCATCACACCCAGCAAGTACAATACCCCTTCTTGGACACATCCCAGCCAGCCAGGCTCTTGTACGATCGCCAGGATAACAATGTCGAGACTCATTTCTTCGATGTAGATGGAAATGGCGGCTATGCTTCTGTGCTTTCGCGTCATGACAGGGACGTCCCTTCTGCAGTCCATCGGCATCCTTCGGATATTTCTGGTGGTCTTGCCAACTATTTGCGCGATATGCAGACATTGTCTTCTCAGCAGCCTCGTTATGCTGGTACCGCCGAACTTCCGCTGGCGGCAGCTGCTCGCCACCCCGTCAGTACTGGTCGTACTGTCGTCTCCGTTGCTCCTCCCTCGCCTGAGTCGCCGGGGTCACGGTCTCGAAGTATTTCCTATCAGCAACCCAGGTCTGTTCCCCTTGCGCGGTTAATACAACGCCGACTGTCTTCTGTACCGGAAGAGGAACTCAACGGTCTTGCGGACACTTCGTCTATATCTGCTTATCGATTCACCGATTATCACCAGCACAGTCTCTCCTCCCGTGATTATTCTGATGATAATACAACACCTCGCAGGTACCACCAAGAACAGCACCTTGGCGTTCCTGCTGTCAGTCATGCGAGCGTTCCTAGCCCGGACTCTGTTGACGAATATGAAGCCCAGCCGTACTCGTTCCTTCATGGAGCATCGCCCGCAAAAGTCCGTCTTCCTTCTGCGCAGGAACAGGAAGAGTACCTTGATCAAAGCCGCGTACAATCGCGGTCCAAAGGAGGGGGAGTGATGGACACATCACAGCAGCTCAAGAAAAAGCCGCGCGGGAGGAAAACAAGGAGCGACGCGTGTCCGATTTCCGCTCGATGACGTCTCTACTACTGGACTGCAGCTTTGGATTTGTTCTTTTCATCACGTTTGTCTCCTTCAAGCATCGTTTTCCATGTATTTTTTTCGCGGATTCCTCAGGGACGGTCATAGATATTCATCTTGCGATGGACGAACTTGGGCAGATCGCACATGTATTAATTTCACAGCCAATTGTTATTGAATCGCACTACAAGTACATGTACCATTTCACGGCTTAACGAATAGATCAGTGAACTTATCGACTGGCAACCTGGACAGCGACTGCGCGTTAGTTACAGTTGCCAGGATCCTTGTAGGTCGGATCAGTACTCGGTACTAAATTGCATAAAGTACGCTGACTCACTTCTGTTGGTGGGCCTCATTGAAATGTGCGGAGATGTGCCTCTTGAACTTCTCCATGAGAAGAGGGATACCTTCCTCGCGGCGACGCTTGTGTCCAACAGGGTACTCGACCTCAACCTCATCAAGAACTGTGCCGTCGTTCAATTCGACGAGGAGTGCATTTCCAATAGAGCGCTTTGACGGTTCATGATAGTTCACTGAGAATGTATTGTCCTCCACGCAGTGAATTTTGGCGCGTAGCGCATCGATACGGGGATCGGCAGCAGATGAGTCAGTGTACGAGTTCGAGGTTAGTTCACCAAAGATAAGCGGGTATGCAACCATATAGCTGATTGCATGGCTTTGGAGTGACCCGTGAGTGAATCTGCACCGTCATGAATGGGTTGGGATACTTACTCTCGATCAGCGAAGTTGTCCAAGGGACCTTGCTTGTCAATGATGCGAATGGCAGCCTCCTGTGTACGGATGCGCACGCTCTTAATGTCGTCTGAGGATTTGCCGAGTGCTTTGAGCTGCTTGTGGATGGTATGTGCGGCCTCGACTGCGGTCTGGGCATGGAATTCGGCGGGATACGAGATCTTGAAGAGGACGTTTTCCATGATGTATGAGCCGAAGGGCATTTGGAACTCGAATGGCTTTCCCTGGAGGTCTAGTTCAGTGGGGTGGAACTGTACTTTTGGGGTATCTTACTTTGAAAAGGACGTCATAGAAACCCCAAGTCTTGGCGGTGAGGACTGAGGGGAGACCAAGCTCGCCCTTCTTGACGAGAAGAGCGAGGTTGACAGCACGGGAACAGGCATCACCTGCTGCCCACGACTTGCGAGGGCCAGTGTTTGGTGCATGACGGTAAGTACGAAGGGATTGACCATCGACCCATGCTTGCGAAACGGCGTCGATCGTTTGAGAGTGTGAAAGACCGCTGCGTGTACCATCTTAGTTGTTGCATTCAATTCCAAAGGTACACTTACAGGAGTTTGGAGACAACAGCGGTACTGGCAACTTTGACGAGCACGACGTGGTCGAGACCAACGCGGTTGAAAGAGTTAAGCAGGGCAAGGCCACCTTGAATCTCGTGTGCTTTGATCATGCCCTCGAGAATGTCGCGAACGGTCAGGGGTTGTCCCTGGCGAGCGAGGTGGTCCGCAACCGCAAGAATAGCACCCAAGTTGTCTGACGGATGACCCCCTAGAATGTGGAGTGAGCCCATATGTAAGATTTATCACGCATTCGCATTGCTCAACATGAGAGTCGTGTACCGATCTATGCGTCTGGCTTGATAGCGAACGGTTCATTATTATCTTACTCACATTCAGCAGCGAGGAAGCAGTCATTGAAGTCCAACCAGCGGATGATGGTGCCAATATTGAATGCGCCACGAATAGGATCCAGCTGGTAATTCGTTCCGGGAACCTTGGTGCCTGTATCCAACAGTTCAGCAATTCATCACTCATTCATATACGGAGGTCGTACCATTAGGCACGACGGTGCCTTCTACAACGGGTCCAAGGAGCTTGGTACACTCCGGGAAATTCAAACCCTCTAGTCCGCATCCGATAGTGTCTATGAGACAGAGTCGTGCAGTTTCGAACGCAAGGTCTGAAGTGACCTGGTAGTTGTGAACATAGTCTGCAATGTCCTTCAGGACCTTGTCCGGTTCTGGTCGAATGGTAGATTCTCCGTGGTGAACAGACATTGGGCGTGCAGCAGCTCGAAGGATCAGGTTACTTGAGACCCCAAGTGATGATCGATAAGAGATGGAAGCACTAATCGACCGGTTGAAAGACCGTGGCACACGCCGAAATAACAACATCACTGAGCAAGAAAGAAAGGACGGTTCAAGTTGCAAGTCGGTTCAACGAATTCAAGTGCTCGCTTCCCGTGGGCAATAGATTCGGCTATACCGTGTAAACTGAAACACATGTTCCATCATATGATCCCTGGGAGGCACTTTCATTGTCCCTTCCGAGTCAACTCTACATAAAACGAATGCACTGACTTCTTTCCTGAGGAACTCGTACAGCGTGATCAAAGCACTACTATGCACGCTGCCGCATATTTCGCAAACGGATTGTAAGGTGAAGTGCACATTTTATTCAGTCTTCCTTGATCTTATAATATTTGTCCCTTTAGCAGCCCGCGTACTCTCATGCATTATGGGCGACGCGAGGGCAAGGGAACTATTGCTTCATGCCCTATCTGACTTTTGTAAGTTTGTCAAGCCCATCTTTATTAGACGGAACGACAAGCATATTTCCTCTATATCAATTACGGTGGTCTGCAGGCTAGGACAGACCAGCACATTGACATTGACACAACTTCAGTTCATGATCTCTGCCTGGCACGAAGGAACTACTAGATATAGTCGCTCAACAAATCGAGCGGTATTTCACAAAGGACAAATTTTCGGAGAACCCCCTGGTCCCCACCGGATGATTGACCCTTCCTGGTAAGTATATTCTGCCAGCAATAATGCCACATATGAAAACCCCACCCGTACGTTGCACGACAACATTGGTATGAAAATAATTGCGTTCGCGAACCGTGCACACGGATCATGATGCATGATGGTGTTGCCCCAATGCGTCGTGCTTATATTGCAGGGCCGCTTGGATATGCTGAATCCTGATTTAAGCTTCTCCGTTGCGTTTTCCCTTTCGACAGTTTATCCAAAAATTTCTTCATGCCATTCTCTACCGCGGCATCGTCCACTGTCGCTCTCGAGCACCAACACATCCAATTATTTCCCACTTCCCCCACCAACTCTCAAACTTTTTCAGATGTGCGTGACTCGGAGGAGGCTGCCCAGAGCATCGCACTCCGCATGATCACCAATGCGTGCACAGTGGACGGTGTCCGCATCGGTATCCACTATTCGAAGGAAGACGACAGTGACTGTTTTCGACTTGTCGCTTCCCATATATCCACCTGCCTACCTTTGTCCCCATATCTCTTTATCATAGCAACCACCAGTGTGTCGCCAACAATTGCTGGTAGTGATGCCTGTATTTCAGACGCACTCGTCATCTGCGGGTCAGATGAGGATGACATGCAGCGGGCTGTGCTTCTCGCGTCTTCCAAATTTCCGGGACGAGTAGATGCAGTCAACAAAAAGGGCACTCTCATTGCTCAGGCTGCATCTATACGGCAAATTGGCTCCTCGACATACCACGAAGCTGCCTTGTGGGACATATTGTTCAACTCCGTGCACACCCACAATCCTCATTCTCCTCCCCCTGGATCTCGCAGCATCGACCAAATTCTCTCCGACGCCCGGGCGAAGCTCGAGCGAATGACGCCCCAACAAGCTTACGACGCACTTCACGATCCCACATACCCGGTGCCCGTTTTTCTCGTGGATATCCGCCCTGCTGCAGAACGCGATCGTGAAGGCGAGATACACGGATCTCTCATCGTCGAACGAAACGTTCTGGAGTGGCGTTTTGACCCACGCTGCGAAGCGCGATTAACAATTGCAGATCGCTATGATTCGAAGATTATATTGTTTTGTCGTGAAGGATACACCAGCTCATTGGCTGCGGCGTCCCTGCATGAGCTTGGGTTGTTGAATACGACCGATATAGTGGGCGGTTATGATGCGTGGATCGTGGCTGGTCTTCCATGTCAATAGGGCAATTGATGAGGAAAGCTATCAAGTCAGTCGGCCATCGTTTGAGTCTAGTGATGTAATTGATGGGACATGCCTAGATTCAATCAACAGAGGAATTTTATGAATTGTAACCAACAGAGATGACACCGCAGATGTGGCAGCCAATACTTTCGGGTATGGGGTGGCACGGGGATCTGTGCATGACCAATATCATTGCTTGGCGAACTTGAAATAGCAAGCTTGAGAATGTTTTTATTGTAACTTTTATTGTGTATGTTTTATTGTATTTGATTGAGACGAATAAGACTCATGTATGTTCCAATACAATGCTAGACATAATTTACAAGTTGGCTTTTGTAGCACCAATCTATACCCGAAAATAATGATCTTGTAATGCGATGCTATACTCTAGTCGTCATGGTATTGTGAGCACTCATATCAGTGAAGTTGTCTCAAGTAAGAGAACGATACCTAAGAACATGGTAAGCACCATCAAGATCGAAATTCTAGTTGGACTCACTGTGCACGATGGAAGGTATACTCTGTGTGGTCACGTCCACAACCAGATCTGCTTTCTTGGGCGCCTCATACTCAGTGTCAACACCAACGAAACCCCTTATCTCCCCGCGACGCGCTTGAGCATAAATGCCCTTGCGGTCAGTGCTCTCGCAATGTTCGAGAGGTGTCGCGACATGAATCAGGAAAAGGTTCCCTCCTGCACCGCCATTTTGGAGAACAGTATCCTTCACTAACGCTCGTGACCGTTCTTCAGGGGCTATAGGTGAAGCAATGACAGCGGCCCCCGCGCGGGCCAGTTCGCCTGCTACAAAGGATATGCGTTGCAGGTTTTCGTGACGCTCATCCGGTGTGAAGCCCAACTTGACGTTATCATCTCGTACGGTCTCGCCAAGGAGAAGGGATACGCTGCGACCGCCCTGTTCGTTGAGTGCGACTTGGAGGGCCTTTGCAATGACGTTCTTTCCAGAGTTGTAGAAGCCAGTGAGGCAGAGAACAAAGCCCTGCTTGTTCCTCGGTGGGTAACTTTCTCGCAACCTCGTCACCACAGCCCTGATGCGCTTGTTAAATTAACGCGTAGTATACCAAGAACGGAAACGTACTCGTAACTGAACCAGTCAGGGATATGCGCCCCTGACTTTAGTCGCCTCCGCAGCTCCGTGCCAGAGATATCCAGAGTCTGCGCTCCAGCAGGTATTTCGTCCACCGGCTGATACTCATCGGTGGAGGGGAGGTATGTCATCTGTTGGAATGGAACCATCTCTATTTCAATTTCATCTTTGTACTTCTCAACAAGCTCCTGTGCGTCATATGGGCCGTAGAAATCTTTGCCCTGTGAGTTCTTGCCTGGTCCAGCATGGTCGCGACCGACAATGAAATGCGTTGCACCAAAGTTCTTTCGGATAATCGCATGCCATACTGCCTCACGAGGACCTGCCATGCGCATTGCGAGAGGGAGGAGCGCAAGGTGACCCATTCCATTCGGATACTTGGCCATGATGGCTTCATATACGCGGACACGAGTATAGTGATCGACATCTCCTGGCTTTGTAAGACCGACGACAGGGTGGATTAGGACGTTCGCCTGATGTTGGCGAGCAGCACGGACGGTGAGCTCACGGTGAGCACGGTGCATCGGGTTTCTGGTCTGGAAAGCGACAACTCTGCGCCATGCAAGTTTTTTAAAGTGGGCGCGGAGTTCAGTAGGGGTGTCTGCCAATCTTTTTTTTAGCAAGGTAAGTGACCCCAACACTGATATGACTTACATCGCAGAGCAACATAATCAAAGTGTGAGGGCGCCTGTATGGCTTGTACCTTCCCTCCTACATAGAAAGGTTTGACGCGGTTGCGGAGGTACGCGACGGAAGGGTGTGCTGGATCATCGGCACCAAAAACAAGAATAGACTCCTTGACGCGGTCATAGGTGTAAACGTCATCGACGGTGATAATTGCAAGTGCCTCGTCATCACGAGGATCCCGGAGAGTAATACGAGCGCCAGGCACTATGCTGAGATGCTCGATATCGGCAGAAGACACGTCAAGAGTGACAGGCATTGCAAAGAGTGTGCCGTCAGATAGTCGTAATGTATCGACGACGCTGATAGGATATTTCAGCGTGACTTTCTGTGGCTTGGATATCTCTGCTACCTTGTATAATCAGCTTCGTTCATGAAGCCTTCTAATGGACTAAAGCCGCCATTTATAATTAGTTCGAGATCACAGAGTTGACGCTATTCAAGATTCACATTCAGCTTCAAGATAGTATGACTTGGGAGACGAACCTCTGTGAGCACGATGTCCTTGAGCTTCGCAGCCTCATCCTTGAGCTGCCCTGATATGGGCTCATCTCGTGAAACAAGGTCCTGTATTATGTTAGATGGCGTACGGCGCGCAGATACAAAAAACGTACCTTCAAAATTCCGCCATGAGGGGTGCTGGCCATTTCTAATATTGTAACTGGGTATCAAGCTATGCAAACCAATAATGAGAGTTTAAGAGTTTACATATGAGCGAAAACCTCGGTGATTAGTTATGCAACCTGCTATCTGCGATGAGACGATATCACGCAATCGTGAGCTAGTGGCATGATGACGAATATAGGAAGAATAGATACTAGCTTCGGAAGATGTAACGGCTTGCGGTTTCACTGCCAGCTGAAGCCTTTCGCTGGTCATATGAACAGTTTGCAATAAATATTGTAACAGGCTCTAAACTGAATTGGTTACGATACGGTAAACGACTCGGATATACCTGTTACATAAGCCATGCCCTACTGCTCGTCGACATCATCACCGCTAACTATCTAATAGGTTTCTGCATTCTTCTGGGTGGTTCAAGCTTGACTAGTATCTCAAAGATAGAACGGATAAATAGAAATCCGTGCACAGTGGGAGTCAAGCACTGGGCTACTCCGCGGGATACTCTGGCAGGCCTGCAAGGACTCGATCGCCGTTCCCATGCATCTCATGCTCGTCACCCGTCCACATCGACCTGATCAGCACCCATGGTTTAGGCAAGCCTTACTGCAGTTTTGGAAAGGAATGACACTTATGCGTATCTTGACACGTATGCTAGGTTCGCAATGCAATATTTGTTCTACATACAGTTCTGAAACCACCAACGGGAGTCTGGAGTGTTCTATATTAGGGTCGGAGCATTCCCCCCCTCTGATGATAGTTTGTTTCCTCCCTCAAATGGCAGTACCGAGTGTTTAGTCCCTCACCAATGCCAACATAGTGTACTTGCTCATGGCATGTTAACAATGATTTTTAATATATCATAGATTGTAAATGAAGACCTTGCTCGGGACAAACAAGGAAAGTAACACTCGTGGCAGCTTGATGGGTAATCACATATTTCCAAGAGCGTTCCCGAATAGTAACCGTCAGTGACTCAGTGTGAAAATGTAATTGCGGAGTCTGCATGGGAGGCCATGAGATCGGAGGAAGAAAATAAATAACATCTTATCTTCCTAAGCTAACAGGTCGAACCGCGGCCAAAGCATCATGGCGTGCGGCCAAGCGTGAGGCGCATGACTCAAAGTTGCAATTATCCAGCTTTCTTCGTGAAAAATGTGGACAACTTCGACATCCCTGCTACATTGGCCTTCTTCAGCTTCTCTACACCGTGTGACGACTTGGCATCTTTTTTCTTCTTCTTATCTCCTTCGTCAGCTGCGTTAGCGTCAGCACTCGCAGTAGCCTTGGTGTCTTTTTTCCTCTTCTGATTTTTATCGCCAGCTGCGACGGATTTTGCAGGCTTTGCTCTCTTCCTGGTGTCGGGAGCTACAGCGAGCAAAGCGAGTTCTTCATCTCTGACCGTTTTCACATGAGCGTCCAGTTTGGAGAGACTAATGACCTATCAGTATCTGCTAGTCACAGTAAACGAGACACATACTCGTAAGACGCAATCAAGTCCTGCAATATATCCCGGGGGAGGTATTGCGATAGCAACTCACAGGCTAACTTGATCCGTCCCACTGGAGAGAATATGTCAGCTAGAGACAAACGGTGGAAAATAACGCACATTCAAGTAGTTCCTCTTTTCCATCATCCATCAGACCATCCTTCGCAAGGCTCCGTACCAGAGTGCGAGACATCTCAGCAACCCTGGGGTCGGATAAGCGCCCTACTTTACCCTTGAGATTTTCCAGCACAACGTCATGAGAATATCTGTACACGGTAATCTCATCCGTTATGACTTGAACACAGACATGTTAATGAGTGGTCGTGCGACGTTCTAAACATTTACCCTTCACATCGCAGACACGCTTTATAGAGGACTGGACAAAATCCAGAGACAGAAAGGAAATAATGTCGTCTGCGGAGACATTTAATGACGGATCCTTCTGAGCAACTTTCTCGGAAGCATCAGCAATCGTCGTAGAGACTTCCTCTATGATATCCTGCATGGGCCGAAAGTTGCCTTTTGAACCGTCGCGCTGTAAAACAAACATCGTCCTGGGGACTAGCACAACGCGTATAACAACATACCGCTTGTGGAACACGCAAAAGATACATGAGCAAAAACATGGGGTCCATGGGTGTCATCACTATGAGCTTTCCATCTGAATACCTGTGCGTCAGAAATGCATACGATTGGGACACCATGATCTGCACAACGCACCAGCGACGACTTCCTCTCCTATGAACCAGGTCCGCGCATTTGTCGGGGATATAGCTTGCACCTCTAATATGGAGCTCTTCTTTGTGGTATCATCTTGTGCATGTCGATCATGGATAAAGAACAGTGAAGCGACACCTTGTCGTTGTAAGCGTTGAGAACGACATTAGTCATATATCGACTAACCTGTACGCGGGTGTGGAAGTCTTAGAAATCGAGTCGCATGGCCGGGAGGGCGATTTTCTTGATTTAGCCGCGCAGTAAGTGTGTCAATAATGTCTGTACGGAATGGCAAGACACGTCGATACGAATGCTGGTGTGGACAAGACGAAAAGCTTACCAAGTGGCAGTATCGCAAGGTGAGTCGACATCGTGAATGAGTCTTCGACGGACTAGTATTGTATCAATGAGGCCCAGTGGGTATATGTATAAAGTTGCAGTGGTATTTAGTAGTGAAGACTCAGATACGTTGGAAGTTCGCGTTGTTTGCGTGTTGTTTTGCATGATTGCCATTTAGGGATACCCCCTTATTGGCGGTAGTAGTGGCAAGAAACACATCTGCATTACAATGCTACAAGGAACTTATACGCTATCACAAGTCGCCGCGCTGCCCGCGCTCACAGAAACAACGCCCGTAACGTCCAAGGTATTAGATGGGCAACCAGAAGTCCCCGTTCCAGTAATAGAGGGATTGGCCGCTGTTCCAGGGGTAGACACCGTTGGGCTGGTAGGAGCGGGCGTCCCATCCGGAGCAGTCTGTGGCGTCGTACCACCGTTGATAGTATCATCTGGGACGGTCTGGGGCGTCGTACCACCGTTGAAAGTATCATCTGGGACGGTCTGGGGCGTCGTACCACCGTTGACAGTACCATTGGGGGCAGTCTGGGGCGTCGTGCCACCGTTGGCGGTACCATCTGGGGTAGTCTGGGATGTTGCGCCTGAGGGTATGGATGGCGCTGCTATTCCGCTCGCCTGTGCATTATTAAGGCTGTCCGAGGCGTTGATGTCCGCGACAGGGCTGGTGCCGTCGACAATTAGAATCGGGGATGCCGCAGTGGAGGGAGTGGTAGGTGGAGGTGGGGCGGACTGTGGTGTCGCAGGTGCACTCCCGTTATCAGATGCATTGCTATCCGCAGGGCCGGTAGTTGCAGCTGCGTTTCCAGAGGGACTGCTTCCCGCAGGGTTGGCAAAAGTTCTGTTGGAGGCGTTGCTGTTGGCGGGACCATCGGTTGAAGTTCCAGATGTCGTGGACCCAGTTGCACCTCTAGTTTCACCTCCAGGTGTCTCTGAAGGTGTATCCCCTGGAGATGCAGGACGAGCGACAGAGTTGGCGGGTGAAACGGCAGGTGTAAAAGTTGCAGGGGTCGTCGAAGACCCAGCAGCGGAAGAGCCTGTGTTCTGATCACCTGACGTTGAAGAATTCTGCGGAGCGCCTCCTGGATTGGTTGTACCAGCCATGCTATCACTCCCTGCTGGACCGCCGAAAGCTCCAGAAGAGCAGCCGTCTTCCTTACGAGCAACAAGTATACCAGAGTATGAACGACCAAACTCGTGACACCAGACTAGAAGGTCGGTGAAAGTGCGCTCGGATAGTCCGGCGGGAGGGCTGAGTTCTCGTCTGCCAAGGAGCACGAGGGCGTGCCGAGGGTCTGGATAAGTGACGTCTGCGATGACACAGGAGGAAGGTGACTGGTAGGGCGGAAAGTCGAATCAACAGTGCATGAATAACGGAGGTTTAGGTACTTACATATTGGTGATGAGTGGTAACTTCAAGAGGCACTGCGAGCACGGCAGGGAGCACGAGAGCGAGCATTGAAAGGGAGCGCATTATGAACGAATGTGGGGTAGCAGATGCAAGCAACGAGTGTAAGAGAAGAAGTCGAAGTCGAAGAACAAAAATGGATTGGGTCGGAGAACGTTAAGAACGCTTTTTTATGTATCGAGCTCAGTGGCTGACACTGCTCGATCATCGTTGGCTGACGGATCTATTTCGGCGCTTTGAAATTCACTCGTTGGTGTAAACAAACCAAAATACGTTACATTCCGCTCAATCATGACATGCATGAGCGAGAAGAGTCCTCACTCAGATTTTCCCCTGTAAATATCTTTTTAGGTTCTCTGTGTCAACAATCTACTTATGAGTCTGGACCTCCGTCATGTATATGAATAAAGTAAATTCTGCGCATCATGGTGGTACGGCTATATCGACGTTCACCTTGGTAGTAGTAAGAGCTCTTGTGCAGCCTTTAGGAATAGTATCGAGTAGCTTTGCGCTGACAACAATCCAAATTTTTCGCTGTCCCCCTTGGCACGCACGCTTGTGGCAGATACCCTACAGCTTCAAATTTGTGTTGTTCCAGAACCCTGCAGCTTTATCACTGCGGCACTGCCACTCACCCTAGCGTCATGTCTCTTCTTTACACCACCCAGAAGACTCTTGCGCATCAAAGGACCACCTCTCTGAGTTCTCGTCACAGGCGAAATTGCCGCTTCCATTTGTGAATACGACAGAGATCTCCTAGAGTTCCTGCCATCGCTCGAAACAATCAACGTTTCTATCATCTATGAGGAACGTGTACGATGTGACAGTAGTGTCCGGAACCAATTGTAAAAACAGCTGGAAACTGTGCAATATGACACGACAACATTCTGAGCTACCTGCGACCTACAGACAGTATGAATATCGTAAGTGTCTTTTCGACGATGCGGCCGGCCATGCGCAGCATTAACGCACAGCCCAGACTAGTTTAAATTTTCCCATGTAGATCTGTCGACAGAGATAAATGAATAACTTCAAAAATGGAGGAGATAGGTGCGGCGGACCAGATATTAGAACCAGCGTAATCACAGTCCATCTTGACCTCCTGCAGCTCATGATCGCTCGTCCCTGTGTTTAAAACCATTAATACATCATCTACATGACCATACATGTACCCTACCAGCATGACAAACAGGTCCGTCCGCCTTGTGACCCCACCACATTACGTGACTCAAAGGCGAGTCTACGAGGTTGGCGAGCGTCTGGAGGTGGCCGTATGCAGCCGGCTGGGGGCCGCGGGGTCGGCGCAGTGCGATTAGGGTAAAAAAACAAGCAAATATGAACAGTGCTATACATAAGTTCCAGATCTGAACGAGTGCGTGAGAATGTTGTAGTAGTTTCACAGGAGCAGTATATGCGAACCTGGGCTTCAAACATGTAGACCTGTAATTGACCATGCAGTGTCCAATCCATAGCGTCGGTGTTTACGGTGATCGAAAGCCCAAACATCCAGTCTATTATAATTGATGATGGTATTCAGTAACACCGAACAAAAAATATACACAGGTGACTCACGCAGGAAAGGCTTCACGGCGAAAAGTATCAGACAAATTGGATAAGCAAAAATCGACTTCAGCGGGTTCATCGTCGGTCTAAGTCCTTTCTTCTCGGTAGCGCATCTCCACTGGCTTTCATCTCGAATGACGTTCGCGATGAGCTCTGAGCAATGCAGCGCCATTGTCAACGGTCCCTGGATAACTGCGATGTTGATAAAGAGCAGAATCCACACTAAAAGATCGGCACCCGGCATGTCATACCAGATGGAAACGTCTTGTGGCTGCAAGAACGACCATGATATTTGTGGGGAATGGTACGAGATCCTGACAAAGGAGACGAGTACGGCCCATCCAGCGCATGCTACAACGACCCCCCAAAGAGAAATGACAACTTTTCGGATGCTGGTGTGAGCACGCCATGCAGAGGGTTGTGTCTTTGACGGCTTCACAGGACATGCGTCAATGCCCTGGTCAGACACACAACACATGCATCGGGAATTAAACCGGGTCAATTTCTTGTCGTGGACCAGTGCAACGGTCACATCGAAAGGTGAGGAGCTCCATGTCAAGACTTCGACTCCCCATATCCCCCTAAATGCAATCACTACCTGGAGAAGGAGTGCGACACCCAGAACAAGGAGAGGCAACCCTGTGATGGCAGCAGATTCCGTATTTGAGAAGTTGACAAATACGATAAGTGAGGATGAGGAGTAGGATAAAATGAGAAGTAGGGCCATGGTACCATTGAGCAGGGCACCATTAGGGTTTCTTCTACCACGAGCTGCGGTCATAATGCGCAGATTGGTGTTGAAATGAAGCCGACCCTCTGAGGCCAGTGCAGAACGCAGCGAGATGCTGTGGACAAAGCCAGTGGACTCTGTGCATAATGTAACAAGTGCATTTAGTATCAGTGACAATAACTCGACCTGCAGGGATTTCTGTAGTTCGGTGCCACCGAGTCTCATCAACGGAATCACCCCAGAAACTCCGCTAATTGTTAGAATGACAACTCCTGCAATAATGCAACAGACGCTGATGATAGTTGAGAGCACCAGTCCAGCAGTGGCATATGTGCGACTTATCAAACTGCGGTCATAGAGATCAGTTCCCGTGACAGCAATAAGCTCTGTGTCAGAGTTATCTGGGAGTGGTTCATAGGGAAGAAGACGTAATGGATACCAATTTTTCACCATGGGTTTGGAAGAAGCTGGCATGAAAGGAATGGAGAACATTGCGGTCAAACCGGACGCAGATTAAGTATGCACTCTTTGGCCAAGATAGCAACCACAGCCTCAAGGTGTCAAGGCGATCTGCCTTGAGGTCTATTCCCGTAAGGTAAGTGTGTACTGGAACGCTACATCACCTGCGTGGTAGTAAATCAGCAATGCGGCAGTGCTATGTAGGAGAGTGAATGTTGAGGCCTGATGTGCTAACCTTGACCTTTGTATTCCATATATGTGCTAGAGAGAAATAGGCCACTAGGACGGCTGCTGGCCACGCCATAAGAAATCAATTCTGCCTGCAGGTCTGCGATGGATATTGGAATGCGGCAGTCATGTAGTATTGCACAAAACAGTGAACTAGAAAAATATCAACGCCAAAGACAATAAACTTACTGGATCACAAAGTAAAAGCCATTAAATGAACTGGGAAGACAGCATTGCGCAAAGCTGGAAACTAGTTTCCGGTACCCTTGTTGGAAATTCCCCAGGGGCATCAAGATTTAAAATATGACAGCTGTCATATTATATTATCAGTGGCGTTCTTGAAGGTGTTTTCCTGAAAACTCGGTAAGCTCCATAAAACGTCGGCTAACTTACAGTTACTATAGGTCTAATGGAATCAGATGTATAAGAGTGCATTGCCGGTATTGCCATATCCTCCTTTCACGCCGAGCTTCGCCGGCAGGAACCTTGTTCCACAAGACTTTGTTGTGTCCTTACCGACACATTTTCGGAAGAAGGCATGCAAGGCATGTCGTGAATTAATCGTAGCATCAGCAGCAGTATATTACATTCGAGTGTCGAGCTGGAGTCACGATCAAGAAAAGTTGCGCCAACTTTGCTATCCTACGTGACATGACTGTGATCAATCGTTGCATATAGCTTCAATTTAAAAATTGTATGTACCATTAGTTGCGGAAGATGCACGCGGTCGAGAGAATATCGGTGAAAAGTTACTGACGAGTCATCCCAACGAATATCTGCGGGTCGAGGATCGGCGATTGGTGGAACTTGACGGGGTAACAGAGAAGTGGTCGGGAACACATGAACATTCAAGCTATCAAGTTTGAGGCAGTAAGAAGTTAGAACAATGCATGAACTCGCACTTTATCGGGTTTCGGTGTAGGATGGTGGCCATGAATAGCGTGAGACACTACTTCCATAATGAATTTGTAAGATATCGACGTACAGGGCACTTTCATTGAGGTATTCCTCACGAACCATTAAAGGTCGCAACAAAATGGCTTCATCTTCAGGTATGTAAAACTATCTGAGAAATAAGTTTATCTCAAATTGTCTTGTTTCAGCTGTCGGAAAGCTTTCCCGTGAGGAGTTTCGACGCCAAAAGGACCTCGATGCTGCCAGAAAAGCCGGAACTGCTCCTGCAGCTCTAGACGAGGAGGGACGGCCTATCAACCCTCACATTCCTCGTGAGTTTATATCATATAGACTTATTTATCGATTAATCTTATTCTCCATCACAGAATACATCTCGCAAGCTCCGTGGTATCTTGACACCGGCGCACCGTCACTAAGCCATCAACGTCGGCCATTCGACGATCGCTCTGCAGACAAACTCGACAACTGGTATGACCGTGGTGCAAAGGCAGGACCTGCTGCAAAGAAGTACCGAAAAGGCGCATGCGAAAATTGCGGCGCATTGACCCACAAGAAGCAGGACTGTCTCGAGCGTCCTCGAAAGAAGGGGGCAAAGTTCACGAACAAGAATATTCAGGCGGACGAGATCATACATGACGTAGCGACGGGATTTGATGCGAAGAGGGATAGGTGGAACGGGTATGATCCTGCAGAGCACAAGAAAATCTATGAGGAGTACGAAGCTGTCGAGGCAGCACGTCAGAAACTGAGGGAGGAAGAGATTGACAACCAAACAACAACGGATTTGGCTGCGGTACGGAAGCTGGCGAAAGCTGGAAAGAAGGAGGGAAAGGAAGCCGATCTTGACTTTGGTTCGAGCGATGAGGAAGACGCCGACGACGACAAATATGCCGATGCTGCCGATGCTGTAGGACAAAAACTCGACACAAAAACTCGCATTACAGTTCGGAATCTGCGCATCAGAGAAGATACCGCTAAATATCTCATAAACTTGGACCCAGAGAGTGCATACTACGATCCAAAGACTCGCTCAATGCGTGACGCTCCCATGAAGAATGTGCCTGCAGAGGAGGTATGCGTTCACGCTTCCTTCCTCGACTCAGCCCTAATTGTTCTCTATGACAGGCGAAATTTGCTGGGGACAATTTCTTTCGGTTCTCTGGCGAGGCTCCTGAAGTTCAAGAACTGCAGCTTTTCGCGTGGCAAGCGGCAGCTCGAGGGAATGATGTTCATCTCAACGCCAATCCCACTCAAGGTCAACTTCTTCATCACGAATTCAAGGAGAAGAAAGAGATGATGAAGGACGTCAACAAAGTCAGCATCCTGGCAAAGTATGGTGGCGAGGAGTACCTCGAACATGTGCCAAGGGAGCTCATAAATGGGCAAACGGAAAACTATGTCGAATATTCGCGGACTGGCCACGTTATTAAAGGGAAAGAACGTGCTAAAACGCGGTCAAAGTATCCAGAAGATGGTGAGCTTCTACTTTCTGATAGTTGTGAGATGTGGTATTAACACGAGTTTTAGTTTACGTTAATAATCATACGTATGTATGGGGCTCGTGGTACGACCTTTCAAGCAGTACCTGGGGCTATGCATGCTGTCATTCGACCATCCACATCTCATATTGCGCTGGTGAAGCGGGCAAGGAAGCTACACAGGCTTCGACAGCCCAAGCCTTGCTTGCATCATCACAGGCTCAATCAGAGCCCTCTGCCCAGGACAACGAGGTGAGAGCCCGAATAGACCAAAATTACTCGAAGAAGCGAGTAGGCGAAGGGGACGTCTCTCTCGATAAGGATCGGTTAGCGGAGGCCATCAGTGAGGAGAAGAAGCGGAAAGTCAGGGGAGACAAGGATGATGATCGATCTAGCAAGAAGATAAAAGGCTTGCAGAGCGGTAGCCGCGATGTTACTGAGGAGGAGCTCGGTATGTGTTTAATTTTCCATACTTTGCGATTGGACGCCTTCTGATGTGGCCTATCATCTTGCAGAGGCTTATCGAATGACGCGCCGGAACGCTGAAGATCCCATGGCAAACTACGTGGACAGCGAAGATGTATATACGCGATAATGTATTTTACCTTGCTTTCTCCTTGCTTTCTTCTATTCTTTATAGCATATTCTTTGGAGTTTTGTATTTGTCGAACGACGTTTGGGTCTATGTATTTCACACGAAGTCGAACAATAAGCGAATACTAAAGCTGTCGGGACGCCGTCATTTATATGACTGTTAAGTCTTTCCCATGACATTCTCAACAGCGCCTGCTCTATTATTTGGTCTGGGCGTACGCATTGCTCTCAACAAGTTCTCGAGCACTGCTGATGCCAGTGCTGACGAGGCTGTCATCAGCGATGTCATCCTTCTCGGCGTCGTCCAAGGCGTCGCACTATATTATACTTTAATGGAATATTCTGATCTCGCGTTCGTCGTTGCATTCGGCATCGCTGTCAAACTCGTCATCGAGTTTATGATGCTCCAGGACGTCTCCAGGTGCGCGACCACCTTGCTCGGTGTCGCCCTTGGTGTCCTAGTCACCGACATCCTATCGCAACTCATCGAGGACGGATACTTTTATGACTTTCACGGAGACTCTATTCACGACAAAGAGAGCACATATACCTCAAAACGAAAGCGTCTCGTCAAATTCCAGTCTAGCACCGAGTACCAAGTGATACCCCCCAGTCGACCACCGCGCTCCCGCAAAACCGAACCAAGTCAGCGATGGCGCGCGCCACCTTCGCTGACATCCACTTCTAGCATCGATCCCAACCACACCATGAGCCCGCCTGAACGGGAGTTGGCGATGCTACGCGCAAAGGCGTCGTTAGCGGATAGTGAGCGGAGGCGGTTCAAGGAGGAAAAGAAGTGGGCTGAGTCGCAGGGGAACTTTGCGCGGGTATCTCAGATGAGTTGGCAGGTGAAACGGTACACTGCTCTCACGCAGAGTTTCACTCGGGAAGCGGATGCGAAATTCCTTGAAGGTGAGACACATCCATCCACCTTTTCGATTGCATGTTCAATGGAATGGCTTTCTAGTGACTGCGATGAAACAACAGCTGCAGCTGCAGCCTGACGCTGTTGCCGCGATTGCTCCACAACCCTCAAACAGACATCAGGTCGATCGGCATACAAATCACTCTCGACAAACAGCCCAGGAGGTTGTGATTGATAGGCAATCCACGGTTACAGTAGATGTTCCAAGGAGGCATCGGAGGCAAAGTTCTGGGACCTTGAAGTCCGCAATGCGTCTTCAAGTACGATAATGACATGACGAGTACGAGTACGAGTAAGTAAGATACTCCTTCTTAGATGCTAGACCTGACGTTGTAAGGAGATCACATTACGATCCTGCAACCGTCACCGCCTATTTTGCTTCATTTACTTGGGGGCTTTTCTAGGACTTCTTTGTATCATTAGATCTGTTCTTTTTTTGGCACAGTGCAGAGCCGTCTCAGAAAATCAAATGTCCTCTTGGTCAGAGATTTAGTTGCAATTTGGTTGCAATTTCAATTTGTCTGGTCTAAGTAACATGTATGCATACATAAAGTTCCGTGTTAGCGTGTGGTAGATGTATATATTACAGTGTATACGTGTAGGTGTGTAAGTCGTACAGGGTCCGTCGGGCCGGCAACACGAGTGATGTTGGCCCCATTTTCTACTGGAAGCACCTTGAGGAAATTATTCATCCTCCCCCATTCAGCCTCAAATCGTGCCAATAGCGGCGGCACCAAAAACCAGGCATCATCCTAGTCGGCGGAGCAAGGACAGATCAACTTAGAGGATCAACAACATATCTACAAAGCACCCCGTTCATTAACTTTAAATACTACCGCGGACCACCTTCCATTCTTCCAACTACAGCATCTCTAGCATCCTGACATCCATCATATTCTCAATCGAAGCCATGTCCTTGACGCATGCCATGATACGGTGATCCGACGCAATCCTCTTGTACTCCCAACCACGCTGCTGCGCAACCAACAGTGCAGCAAAAGGTTGTCCGAGGCGAACGATTAACCTCAACGCTCGCGAATGAGCGTCCATCTCATTTGGTTCGTTTTCTCCGAGAGACTCGTCGGGTGAATCTAACTGCGATGGGAGTGGGGACTCCAGCACCCTCTGCGCATCGTCCGAGAAATCAGGCAGCCCGAAATCATGGCGGTCCCACGGACGGATGATGAAGAATTTCTGTGGGGTGGGCTGTGCCGGCGAGAATTGAGTCAATGTGTTTTCTGAGGTGATCAACAGGTCTTGAAGCCCATCTGCCTCGATGTCATAAGTGAAATATATCCCCCCGTGTTGATCGTGTCTCTGTCTGACTTTTGTGACAGGAAATGCGATGCAAGGCAGTTGCAATCTGTAGTTTGTGAAACGAGGGACACTGAGGTTGTCGAGCAGGGTATACAGTTTCGAAGCTAACTCCACAGCCACAGTATTTCGCAGCATGGAGACAGATGTCCGCATCTCGTCCCCTGGTAGAGATGGCAATGTGAATGCTAAAGCTTTGTACGAGGTAACATCAGCTGGGAGACAGCTATTGAAATCGGATGCTTTTCCGACCCAGTCCAGGACGGTAATGTCGCCCGACCGACCGACAATCTCCTGCAAGAGTCGATCGAGCGCGTTTTGTTTCGTCTCACCGTATATAACAGGTAAGTGGACACCGAAAATACCAAACAACGAGTATACGATGTCTTCCTGTAACGTGGTGACACGCGTTGACACCCATTTCAGCTTCTCGCGGGCATCTCTCATCCCCGGACGGAAGGCGACGAGGGTTCGTGTGTTTATGCCTGTTGAATTCTCTAACTCCTGCATAATAGTGGCAGACTTCTTGTGGTTACCAGAGTGGTCATTGAGATAGAGGGTCCAATCTGCACGGTAGAAGAGAATAACTCGAGGAGCAAGGAATTCTTGAACCGTCCATCCTCGTGTATTCCAATCACTGTTTGCCAGTGCGCCCCACTCCGCCGAAGGTGGGACATCTGACAGGTAGACGATCGTAAGAGCTGATTGGTGATACCAAACGAACATGGAGTTGACTGATCTTTGAAGTTCAACATTGTTGTTCTGGTTGATGCAGCACGTATCACTCCAAGCCCAACGATAGCCCAGATCGCGAGCCTTGTTGCAGAACTTCTGCAGCTTCTCTATGCCGCCAACTCCGTTCAACTCGTATACGACCCTGCCTTGGATGTTGTGCAGCAACGGCTCCCTGCGGTCCCATCTATGTGATAACATGACCCAACTGAAGAACTTCGCGACCGCCTTGTTGATGAGCTCCATGTTGAGGGGCGCACGCATCATTGACGCATACAAAAGCTTCTTGTACTCCGTACTTTTCATGAAGATTCTTATTTGTGCCTCTCGATCGCATAAATATCCGGTGGATGTCTCGAGTAGACGAAGTGGGGCACTTTCCAAACGAGTGTGAACGGCTCTTCGAATAGCATCATCTACTTTGGATTGCTTGACATACTTCCGATGCAGCTCTGCAAAACGAGTAAATAATCTTCAATTTAGCGGGTGAGTTCTTCAGGGCTTACGTCGTATCTGTGGGTCGGGTGTATCACTCAGCTTGGAGAGCATGCTGTCCAAGGCCTCGATTGCTTCGTCATAGCGTTGTCCCGTGTGGAGCGCTTTATGCTTCATCTCGTACCCAAGATGTGATGAGGGGTTGTTTTCAATGACCTGTGGATCAGCAGTGTCAGCACAGTTGCTAGGACAATGATGGGTGTCATCTGCACCTTTTCTGCGTCAGAAAGGGTTCCTCGATAAAGATTTCGTCCGAGCGCCCAGTGCGCCCAGTAGGAGTCGTACGAAGAATCTAGCTGCATCGCTGTGGAAAGTACGTTCTCGACCAGCCAGACCCGAACCTTCCCATCCTTGCCTCCGTTCACGAGCAGTTCTGCATTGGGAGAAATTGCAACGCAGGTAGCCACGACGGTGTGGTTGAGGGCATCTCCTATCTGCTGGTGTGTTTTTGTGCACCACAGCCGCACGGTTTTGTCGTTCGAGGCAGTGGCAATGAAGGAGCCATCAGAGGATATGGCGAGTGAGTTATAGCGCTTGCGACCGGAAGCTTGGCCGATCTGGTGTCCATTCGACGAGTTCCAGAACTGAAGTTTATTATGTGATATGGAGACAAGTTGCTGGCCATCAGGTGACCACACGATGCCTCGAACTGGCGAGGATACTGCTAGTGGCTCAGCGTAAAACCGGAAAAGTCGCCTGAGGTTATCGGTGCGCCGAACATCAATGTAGCCGTTCGATGATGCACACGCCAGTTTGAGTCCATCTGGACTGAATGCTACTCCTAACACCGCAGGATCTGAAAGGTTGCGACGTCTTGGCCTCCGTCTACAGCTTGCCAAGACATCACAAGTCTTTGTATCCCATATATGGACCTCATCATCGCCCGGTCCGCCAGCTGCGAGTCTCTTGCCATCAGGCGAGAAGCACACCGACTTCACCGGCATTGACCACAGTTCATAGAGCATCTGCATTCTCTTGACGTCCCAGATGACGATACCGTAAGATCCAGCACTGACGATTAGCCTGTCATCTGGGGAAACGGCGAGTGATCGCACACTGCCACCTATGATGCGTCCCTCTGGCTCGAATAGTCCTCCAATCGATGCTCCTGTTTCTACATCCCAAATTTGCAGGGTGCTGACTGATGAACAAGTGACGACCCGTCGATTGTCATTGAAGACCGCGACTGCCTTCACTTTACTTGTGTGCCCTTCTATCGTACGCATTAGCGCCGGTTGTGTTGTCTGTGCACTGGCAGGCCGCGTAGGCCATACTTTGAGATACGCTTTTTTGGCTATGTCAAGCAACCCCAACATGTTGCATTAGCCTACGAGGAGCGTGCTTCGGGGACATTGGTGTTAGTTGAACTTCCGTAATCTAATCTATGCAGGCGCTCACCAGTCACCAGGGTTGCTGACTACTTGGCGCGTGAGGGACGTTCAAACGCGGATTTGAAAGTCTCCAATTTGGGGGTTTCAAACACTCTGCCCTAACGCCATGACTAACGACAGTATTTAAGTCAAATCGGAACGGTCGAAAACGGACAAGCTAAGGGACGGAGAGCGTAGCTGTGAACTTTGACAGGAATGAGATTGAACAGATGTTGTGGGGCAACAGAACCGTTGCATTAGCTGTGTATTACCACGCTGTCGTGCCAGCTATGGCACGGATCTCTTCCACACATCAGCCCCCTTTTTCATGCAGGCTCCTTCATCCTGCACGTAAGTGATACACGTCCAGCGAGTGTAGGGACGGTCGTGTAACAGTATCAGCATGGGAAGCAAATGTCTCGAATGATAATGGCAAATGGTAACAGCGCTAGCCACCATGTCGAAAATAAACCCAGTCTTCGCAGGGGTTATGATACATTGTTCCAAGAGCCCGAAACTTTTAGAAAGTTGGCGCAGTTCTGGAGGCTCGGACGGATGGATATCGAGGAAAGTTGACAAGATTTGGCAAAAGAGGGAGGGTGCACGTGAGACGTTTTATGAAATCAATTCTTGTATTTTTGTCAAGTGCAGCCCTTCATTAATTTGCTGTAATGGGGAACCGCAGAAATCAAAATTTCATCGCGGTCCAGAATGTAATTGATAATTTGATACATGCATCATAAAGGATAAAGGAATCGTGGAATATTGCAACCTGACTTAAAAAAAGTTAATTGTGATAGCCAGAGAGCGTGAAAGCAAAAACGGGGGTAAGATCCAAAGCACAAGAGTGAGTATGAGTAAAATATTAATGAAGTACTATCGATGGGCTTTGCCATTGGCCTTCGTCGTGGTAGATGGTGTGCCATTGCTCTTACCACCTGTGATGGGCCGAGGCTTCTTAGCAGACGTCGAGGCTTCCGCAGACGCTCGTGGTGCAGCTTCCTTCATCACCATCTTGGCATGAATGTCCTCCAATTTCGACGCCTTGACTTTCTTGGGCCAGAAAAGTGTCACGAAACTGCGGTCAAAGATGAACATCGATACAGCTAGTCTAGGTTTCGTACTCACGCCCAGAGATGTCGACGCCATCGTTCTCGGTCCTCTCCAGCGGCTTGTTTATTCTGAAGAACAATCTCGATGCGTCGTCCAATAGCGGCTAACGAATCCTTGAGAATGGCAACTTTGTCGTCGCGAGGCATGTCCTCGCCAGACAACTTCAGTTGTTTCTACACAAAGAGTTAACGGTGGTTCGAACATCACAAGGAACTACTTACCAGCTGCTTCTTGACTGGTCTCAACTCTTCTTTCGTCGCAGCCTCATCCATCGATGGGCTAAAATTGCGTCAGGATCCACAATTACTTATAGTCTAGCACGAGACTTACCATTCGTCTGACGATTCGGAGTCGGTGAATGTGGGAGTAGGCCGTCTCTTGCGTCGCTTCGCTCCACCATCATCGATGGATGCCACAGCCTCGCTCTCCGCGCGCCGTTTCCGGCCGATCGGAGGTGATGATGACGACGACGCCACAGCTGTTGGGGGAGGAGTGGCCGAACCCTTCAAATGACCCTTATTCCGTAAAGAGCTCTCGTACGAACGTAGCTTCTCATCATGCTCGCGAAGTAGCCCAAGGAGGAAGTCACCTCGCCGGACGAGGTGAATAGCATTGGGAATTGGCCGAGTTGTCGCGTCTTCCCCCTTCTTGCCTTCCTCCAAAAAGAATTTGCCTTGGAGACCTAGCCGCACATCCTTCGCCATGGCCTCCCAGTTGCCGAACCCATATATGAAGGCGCCAACAAGAAGCATCGCATCCTCTTGCGGTCCCCACCGCCCAGACCAGTTGAGAGTCGGCCTGATGTTCTCAATCGGAATGGACCAATTGTAGAGCTCCTCCGTACTCAATTCGCCCAAAATATTGTTCAGAATGCGAAGGTCGCGATACCGTGATAGCACGGTCTCCGCATTGATGTTTCCGACATTGCGGAAAGTAACCAGGACGGCCTTGCTCTTCTGGGCATTAGTCAGGGTCTCCCCTGCCGCCATACGTTCCCGCTTTTCTTGGTTATTCTGCTCGACAGCTTGCGTGCAAACTTCGATGATCTCGTCGGAGACGTCCATGATCATGGCCTTGTGCTTGTCGCCAAGTTTAGATTCATTGACCTACAGAGGAAACGAGGCTTGTGAGCTCTGATTTGTGAGAAACAAAAATATACTCACAATAACATCGTAACGCTGACGAATGTCGCCCCAACGCTGCAAACTTCGAATAAGAACGCGGACATCTCGCTCTTTAAGCTCCATGGCCTTTTGACTAGCAGTCTTTCTCTGGGGTCCTGGGATTTTGAGTTTCTTCGGAGCAGGCGCTGGTGCAGGATGATCGACGTCCATGCCCTCATAGGACACAGGTGCATGGGTGCGCTTGCGATCCCTGAGTTCCGCCGCAACCACTTCGTCAGCCTTCCGCTCATCCTCCTCTTTCTCAAACTTGTGCCGCTCCTCAATGGGTATAATGTCCTCCCAACTCATGTCATTCTTTACGTCGCTCACGGCAGCGAATTGAGCGAGGAAGCTTTCACCACCAAGCGAGGCACCGCCATCGCCGCCAGCGGCCATTGTCTCATGGTCCTCGGCGCGGTTGAGAATATCATCAAGGTCCATCTCGTCAAGCTTCTGGTTCTGTTGCGAGTCGTCCTTGTCGAACCTGGAAATAGGGTTAGCGGAGCGCCTGACCAGGGGAACACCGTTACTCACATTTTCTGAGCACCGTATTTCAAAACTGCGGTGAGCTCGTCTTTGCTAAGATTGTCAGGCTTCGTGGAATCCTTGACCTTCTCGCCTTTTGGGTTAGAGCTCAGATGTGCCTGCGAAGTGTCCATTTGATTGATGACTAGCATGATATAGGTGAGATCAAAGTGGGTTAGATCAAGACATTACTACTCACTGGCATACTCCAACACCATCTTTTTCTTGGCCCTTTCGAGAACGTCCTCCTCCATTGTGTCCTTACTGACGAAACGGTAGACGCTGACATGGGACTTTTGCCCTATACGATGAGCACGTGCCATGGCTTGCAAGTCGTTTTGAGGATTCCAGTCGCTCTGCAAAGACGTCAATCATACGTATGTCACACAATGACCCACATACATCAAAAATAATGACAGTATCGGCGGTCTCCAAATTAATACCAAGACCGCCTGCACGGGTTGACAACAGGAAGGCGAAGTCAGGCGATCCGGGTGAATTAAAATGCGCAATTGATTTCTTCCTCGCATCTGACGCGACCATGCCATCCAGACGTTGATGTGGGTACCCACGAAGACTCATGTAATCACTCAAGATGTCTAACATCCGGACCATTTGACTGAAGATGAGCACACGATGACCATCTTGCCGAAGGCGTGCGAGGAGCTTGTCAAGGAGAACCATCTTTCCGCTGTTCATGACAAGGCCTTTGAGAGTGTCATCGTTAACATCAGTGCGCACTTCGGCACCGTCGAAGAGATAAGGGTGATTCGCAGCTTTCTTGAGCTCCATGGCAATGTTCAGAAGACTGATGTTGTTGTTCCCATTTGCACTCTTCACCAACCCCTGGAAGTTCTGGACGAGGATTAGCGAGAGTTAATAGCCAGTCAAATATAAGCCTACCTTTGTCAGGATGTTCTTGTAGAAATGCGTCTGCAAGGCAGACATTTCTACTCGAAGGATGCGCTCACTCTTTGTAGGCAAGGAAGTAAGGACATCACGTTTCAGTCGGCGGAGCATGAGTGACTCGAGTTGTTGATGCAGCTCCTTGATCTTGGCTTCGTGGTCCGCGTCGTTAAGGTCGAATTCGTTGGTCAAAGCGACTATAAACATCTCCTCAGCCACAGCGACAATGATAAAAATACGGCACAGAACGTACACTTCTCAGGCATCAGGAAGTGCATCAATGAAAGTAACTCTGCACGCGATGCGGCGTCAGCAAAAATCGCCAAAACTCAGTCGTATTAACACGCACCCTTGACATTGTTTTGCAGTGGCGTGCCAGTGATCAATAGCTTCGACGCAGCGGGGAAGGACCTCAGAGCCTCATACAACTGGCTTTCTGAGTTCTTGAGCCGATGAGCCTGAAACGGCCATCAGTGACTATTCTAAGACATTCTGCACTTCTATCTCACCTCGTCGACAGCAAGCGCCTGCCACTTGATGTCCGCAAGCTCCTTTGCGTCCCTTAGAGTAAGCTCGTACGTCGTCAGCAGGACATTCATCTTCAGTCGTTTGTTGGAGGGACCGAATTCGTACGTCCGAATGACCTCACGTGCAGGAGCGGTTCCTATGTAGGTGATGACATTCAGATCAGGTGCCCACGCCGCAAACTGCGATTGCCAGGCAGTGATAGTGGAAAGCGGGACGATTACAAGAAATGGTCCGTATTGGTGCATTTCATGAAAGAGGTAGGACAGGAAAGAAACTGTCTGTACGGTCTGCGCACAATGTTTTAGCATTCTGAAAGGCAAAAAAAATCCAATGTACCTTTCCGAGACCCATTTCATCGGCAAGGATGCCGTTCTCGCCTTTACTCCACAAATACGCCAGCCAGTTCAGTCCAGTGAGCTGGAAGTCCTTCAACTCACCACCCGTCGAGGTGATGTAGTCAGGATCCTTCTCAATCTTCTGGAATGATGGCCGCTGGTTACGCGCGTAATTAATGCTCTTGTAAGGGAACTTTGCCTCAACCTCTCGTTGTCGATACGCCTCAATTTGGGCCTTGGCGATAGGGCGCACTTCCTCCTGCGTTTCCCATGTACAATGCTCATAATTGAGCCCAGTCCATTTGCAAAAGTACTCTGTCATGCCCTCTGCACCGTCGCGGTGCGAGACAATGCGTTCGACGACCTTATAGGTCTCGAGCTCCTCCTTTTCGCGTTCTTTTTCAAGAAGCAATGCCTCAGCATCTTCCTGAGAGATGCCTGGTGCACTGAGGCGAGACTGGTACATCTTGTAAGCTTTGATATAGTTGTCAACACGCTTGAGGCCCTTGAAGCGTTTGAGAAATTCGTAGGTCTCATCAGTGTTATGCAAATGCGAGAAATTTTTCCACTTGATATGAAAACGCTTTGAGACATGTCAACAACAATCTGCTTGCCCAAGATAATTCTGGGACTTACAACATTATCAAACCAGATATCCTCAGGATCGTCTTCGCGGCCCTCATCTCTGCAATGACTCAAGACAGACTCGATCTCATCTTCCTCTTTGAACTGCGCGGTAGGATCGACATAGTACCCTTGATCGACATCCTCTTCTGATAGCTCAGCGAGAGCTTGGACATCATCAGTATAATTGGGAATCTTGCCGCCTCGACTGGAGACGCGGATTTCGTCTCCAGAAACACGAGGCCGTTTCTTCTTCTTCGATCTAGACCCATAATCTGAATCTGAATCTGAGTCGTTGTTCCGGGAGATGGCTGTACAAAAGCTAAGCGCGAGCTCCACCGTGGAAACAGGGTGCACACCTTTAGGTCTTGGTGCCGACGATGACGGCTGTGATTTCTTTTTTCTCTTCTTCGGAGCTTTCTTTTTACCGTACTCGTCATCTGCATAGGAGCCATCGTCCTCGTCCTCCTCGTCCTCCTCGACGTTATCTTCGTACCCCTTGGGTACAATGCTCAACGTTCTCGGAAGGAAAAGAGATGATAAATAACATACCGACTCTTCGACATCCTTTAAAAATGTAGATGACCTTGAATAAAATTGGAATTACTAACATATGATATGTGAGACTTACGGAGCCTTTTGGGGTGTAGGAGGATGGCCCAGCAATAGCGAGAGAGGTAGCGTCATCGATGTCCTCTGCATCGCCATCAGCATCTGGGTCTGGGTCTGGGTCTTGGACATTATCGACAGGAGTGTGATGATTGTTGACTTGTTCATTCTCAGAGTCAACCTGCATAGAGTCATCACTGTCATAATTGAGGTTAAGAGCGTCGGGGTTGAGCGCCATGGTGTCGACGCTGTGATGGACAGTGGAGGGGGAGGATGTGGTTGGGGGTAGAGAGGGGAGGGAAGAGGTCGTCAAGGATCTTGTTGACGAAAATGTTCACACGTGTGGCCATCGCTACGGACAACGCCGGGCAAGGCCCCATCGTCACCGCTCATGGCATTGGTGAAATCCGAGTTGGGGCATAACATTTTGGAGTAATTGTGTCAAAAACTTAATTTTTGGATATAATTGTGTATAAAAGTTTATTGTTCTATATATATATTATGAGAAGTTTATGGTTAAATTAATGCGCCATTGTCATCAAAATTTATCGTGTTGAGCCTGGCGGTCTTCGGCCATCGAATACAGCATCATGCCACCCAATTCACGGCTCCCACAAACCGCATCAAGCACACCAATATTAACAGCATCCTTGTTATCTGCCGCAGCCAGCCTAACCTATATCGGCTGTTGCTCAACTATCTGGACTGGACTGTGCCATATCATCATCTCGAGCGTTGGATATTGTGTAGTTTCTCAGCTTGATTCACCTGATCATGAACCCTACCTTGTTCACATCGCCAGAAATACCCATGGCCAAGCCATCATTACCTCTAAATCTCCGCCAAATCCACGCTCCTCGGCCTGCAGTGCTCGCCGCCGAGTCCAATGTCCCCGAAAGTCTAAAGCCAGCAATCGAACATGGTAATCATATCTTGTTACACCCACGTCACGTCATGATCGCTACAGGGCCTGTTGACCGCAGTCATTTTGTAATAAATAAATTGTATAACACGTTGCTCCCCACACCATGCCTTTCTCAGGCACCTGTGCGTTCGTCGAAGCATATAATTCCAGTGCCAAGTCATCCAATGAACAATCATCTCGCCTTTTGCGCATGCCCCTTCATCGCCGCGTTGCGGAACCTATACCTCATCTTGGGTTACACTCACCACATCACCAGCGCTCATCACATAATATATACATGCGGCTGCTCGCTGTACGGTGACCAAACCATTGGTCTCTTCCCTCGAAGGATCATCAAGAACGAGACCCTGGCAGCTTTCCTACTAGATCCGGCAACGTCGTATCGAATGTTCCACCAGGGCCGAATTTCGATGGGACTGCCCACTGATCTGCAACGCCTTTTTTGGTCTTTCACGGCCGTCCGCCAGCGTTGCTGAACTATTTGTAATTCAATTCTTGGTCACGTGTGTTGTCGCCAATTTAGCTTGCTCGCTGACCCCAACGATGAACACATCAATTTTCGATTTTTTTCTCGCCCCTTTAACTAGAGGACCCTCTAACACCCATGTTACGAAGAATGTTTACGCGCCACGCTAATTTTGCGACGATACCCCTTCAGGTCGTCTAGATCGTCCCAAAGCTGGGCTTATCGCTCTAACGACGTGGCATGTTCAGCACTGCGTTCTTGTCCCAAGTAGCCCGTGATCACCTCCTTTGAGAGCTCCTATCACATCCCCTTCGCGCGAATATGGTGGCACTGTGTGTTGAACTCTATGACCCTGGATAATTGATCATGAATATAGACCAAAGACACGCATGTCCTAGGCGAGATCCGAAATCTTCATGCTCCACAAAACAGATCCAATAACGTTGATTTCAAATCGGCGCCCCTCGCACGAGATCATAATCAAGCGCTTGTAGTACGAGAACACGAACCGCAAGATAAAGTAAGTGCATGTGGCCATTGGCTAAATTCACAGATAACATGTGAGAGTCAGCAGGCTCGCTGAAAGTTACTGCGATACTTGTAGCGAGTCCGCCGATTTTCAGGAATGTGACATGGTGACATCGACATGTCGTGCTTGCTTCCCACTATCTGCACCTGACGGACAGACGTAATCTGGCTCACTCGCTTTCTGCCTCTTCTATAATTTCTCAGTCTAACCCTAGATTTACAGATCACACGATAGAATCAGGCTCACAGCGGATTGGTGTTCAGCAAAGTAGAGAATCTGTGACAAGCAACAACGCTGTTAACTGCTTCATCGGCTCCGTGGGAGACACCCCATTGGTGAGGAGATCCATCCGCGAAGGCAGTGAAATACCCCTCTAACAGCGATTATACATGCTTAGATCTATCTTAAGACGCTTTCAGAGCTGACAGCTGGATTCTAAAGCCCCGCAGGCAGCGTCAAAGACGGTTGCCGTCAGTATAATTCAGGATGCGGAGAAGAAGGGTTGGTGAGTGGGCATAATGTACTTAATGACGCATTTAGTGTTGAGATTTACCCAGAATAAAACTCGGTGGAACCGTTGTCAAAGGTACCGCAGGCAACACTAGTATCGGCCTGTCTATGTTTGTAGAGCCAGGGGCTACATGCTTAACACTCAGGTAAATGCAATCATTTGGTTACTGTTTTTTTGCTGATGCTTTGTTCTCAGAGCCAAGCGAAGATTGACCTTCTCCAGATGCTCAATGCTGAAGTCTACCAGTTTCCGCAGTTCCCCACGAGACTCTGAACTACAATCACCAGGCGGAGGAGTATGCCGAAAAGCTCAAGAATGTCATGGACAGACCAATTCGATAACACCGCGAATGCACACGTCTCCTATATATCTACTGGGTCCGAAATATGGGAACAGAGGAAGGGTGAGATCGACTGCTTCGTTTGCGCGGTACTGGCGGCACTCTGGCCGGAGTTGGCAAGTATCTGAAGGAAAGGAGCAACGGCAGGACGCAAATATAGCTCACCGATCCGCCTGGAAGTGTCTTATACGAACATGTCAAATCTGGTGGAAATCTCGTTGAGTGTTCTGAAAGTTCCATCACAGAAGGTTAGACTTATCCTGTGTATTATTGTGATCGTGATGGCTGAACGTTCTATCGTGTCCTCGTCACATTCATACAGTGATCAGTTAGGGTCGTGTCACAAGTAATTTTGGCACTTTTGTAATGACCTCGCGGGGGCACTTCACATACGGACGAGAAGGTGATATCCATGTTGTGTCAAATTTTTAATACTGAAGGCTTGTATGTAGGCGTTTCCTCGGTGCTGAATGTCGTTGCAGCTGTGGAACTTGTACAAAAGTTGGGGAAGGGTAAGGACAACAGTTAACCGTATTTCAATGCCCAAGCCGAGACTCAGTTTTGTCTACCAGGCTCTCAAGTTGTAATAATATCGTACAATAGGCCAGTGCTAGGGAACTGCATGGGTGGACCCTGGGGTATGAGTTGTGACACCTGCACCCACACCCCAGGGAATACTCATATCCACCAAGCAGGTGTGGGTGAGGCCCCCCAAGGGCTGATGCGCCCAAAGCATGCCAGCGCTGTAATAGGATATTTTGGTGATGTACATTGCAACACTGTTATAACATAGGTTGACCAAAGGTAAATGCTCGCAGGTGATTGTGGTGATGGCGAGTGCTTTCACTAGTTGGAAGTCGATTATGCGTGCTTGGAAAAATCCGGAGTTTTCCCTGATGGTAATCATATCAAATGTGTCACCGACAAAGTTTTCGGAATTGGGGATTGCGGCATGATTCAGGAAATCGGGGAGTCAGTGGTATGACTAGGCGGAGTTTAGAAACATTAGTCAGTTAGCGGAGTGTTACTAATCAAACTTCATGCATTGTCATGATTGCCAGGGAAGTGCCAGACTGATTGAACAACTAACTGATAAGGTTGCTGATTCTACCAAGTGCTCCAGTGAATGAGACTGAGTCTGCAGGAAGTTCTCAGAAGAAGGAATCCTTCATGACGAAACTAGTCCGCGAGCTCATGCCATGCAATGCCCCTAGCGATCACGCGCATGCGACTGACGTCGATAGTCATGATTCCGTGCAATACAAGATTATTGACTCGGCAGCCAACAATAGCTCAGCGCCACCGGCCGGCTCCAGTGAAAAGCAGGATGAAGTTAAGAAGGAACGCGAAAAGCCAACTTTCCCAGTAATTATTGGCTCGGAAGCGTCCCCTCTCTCAACGCAAACCCGGGCCACCCTCCCAGAGGTCGACGTTGACGTTTCCCTCATGCCAACCAAGATCTTCTTCCCCAGGTTTGAAACAGAGGGGATGACCAGCGGAGCAGTCCAACCTCCAGGATCGACAGGGACAGATACCTCCTCGCCTTTACAAATTTCTCGTGATGACGCATCATACACATCATCGAGGGGTACCAAATCACATGCTGAAGATATCTCACATACAGCGACAGATTCTGAAAACAGTATCACAGACCTTAAAGAGGGCCACGGAGAAAAGGAAGTGCCTGAAATCGAAGAAGTAGAACCGATGGAGGATGCTCTTATCCTGGATGGAGGTACTGGCATCCCGATAGGGCCCGTGAGCCTTACAATATTTTCATAGACTGCGGCTGATATTTGTTATTCGCTAGGATGGTGTACCACACCCACTTTTACCCCCGATATCATCCCAACACAAGGGGCGCAAATGTCTCGTCCTTGACCTCGACGAGACCCTTGTTCATAGCAGTTTTGGGGTGGGTATTCCACCTTACATTCTATGCTATTTTTGACACATTCCTTTGAACCTTCAGTCTCTTCAACACGCGGATTATATTGTACCAGTGGAGATTGAGTGTCTTTGGCACGATGTGAACGTCACCAAGCGTCCGGGTGTGGATGACTTCCTGAAGAAGATGGGCGAAATCTATGAGGTGGTGGTATTCACCGCCAGCGTGAGCAAGGTCTGAGGGTGTTGTTCTATGTACATTAACGTTGTTATTCATTTTCATTTGCAGTTTGCGGACCCGGTCCTAGATAAGCTAGACATTCATCAAGCAGTGTCGCATCGACTATTCAGAGAGAGTTGCTATAGTCATAATGGAGACTATGTCAAGGTAATGGACACATGCTTCCTGCATGTTTCGCTGTTCGCTTACTCTATCTAGGATCTCTCCCAGCTGGGTCGCCCGCTTGCAAGTATCGTCATTCTGGACAATTCTCCGGCATCATATACTTTCCACCCCAATAATGCGATCCCTGTTTCTTCCTGGTTTAATGATCCACATGACACGGAGCTCACTGATCTCTGTCCTTTCCTTGTGGATCTTGGTGGCGTAAGAGATGTTCGTGGGGTCTTGGATGCTGATCTCAGTATGAGTGATGGAGTATTGGATCTAAGGAACCAGAAATCAAGAGGGCTGTGAGCTGCGACGGCTTTGATCTCGCAATTTTTAATGAGATATTATTTGGAACATCATATTGACATCTGGTTTGGGGCTGCGATTTTTCCAGTGTAGGGTGCATTCGTACGACGCCGATCGTTACCAGTAATTCTTGCCATCAAGAGCAGCTAACCATATTGCGATATATCTTCTACTTGCATAACTAGTATTAACATTGTAACATTTTCCTTCCTGGATCTTTATTTCTGTTTTCATTTCACACGTACGGCGATGCCTCTCTTATCTTGTTCGCACAAAATCACGATATATGACGAACTATCATAATTGTAGTGTTAACGCTACTTACTCACGATTGTATCTGCTTGCTTTCCTCAGTCCCAGGCTGCGCGAGACGCGTCTGTTTTCAATCACGTGAGCATCATAACCCACCGCGACGCGTTTATTGATCTATGTTTGATTGAACTGAACCTACATACTAACCAGCGGTCGTCGTGACATACCACGCTTTACAGGGACCGAACGTATCATAAAGTCGACGAGATATGTCATTCCCCAAGGGTTCACGTTTTGCAACAGAGAAAAGTACGTGTCTGGGTCCTTGTAATGACACGCAGTTCATCATTCCGACTCTTGCAGTTTCCAATGCTCCAGGACCAGATACCTACAGCCTGCCAGAAGGTACGTGAAATAATGAACGCATTTGCATTATTTTTCTGACATTAATGTTACGATAAGACCCGCTAGACGCGAACAAACGAGGTTCATTTCTGAACAAAACCGATCGTTTCTCGAAGGAAAAGGTATTCAGTGTTCCAGGTGAGCTTGACGGTTCTGTGGCAGTACAGCACCAATATATTTACAGGACCAAATTCATACAATTCTGTGCCAAGAGCTGTGCAGAACGCATTAGCCGCTAAACATGCAAGCGAGGATCGATACACGATACTATTGAAGAAACTAGAAGACTTGGAAAAAGTACACGCTGATGGTAAGAAGGCGGTAAGATAATATTTTGATCGTTTTCCAAACTCTGGACTCAAGCTGTGTTATACAGCATCAAACCGAAATCGAACGCTATAAATTCGAAGTTGCTCGTCTTTCGAAGACCAGCTTGGAGCAGGGCGAGAGATTGGACAAGCTCAAGAAACATAACGAAATACTCGAATCGCGAATCCAAGAGTACAAGAAGAACAATGCTGCTGATCAAACCGAGCTGAAGGAGCTACGTGTCAAACTTCGCACGTCCGAACATGAGCGCACACAGCTTGTCAGCAAGCAGGGGGAGAGCAGCGAGACGAAGAAAGCACTGCAGAGTCTCGAGGCAAGGAGGAAAGACGAAATTCAGGAACGTGAGAGGAAGATTGCAGAATTAGAAAAGACTGTATCTGCAGAGAGGAAGAAGAGAGATATTTTGGAAAGCTGTGTCAATGAGGCGAAAGGAAAGGCGGATGAAGAAGCACGGAAATCACGCGACATGATGATAACAATCCAAGCAAAGCTTGACACGGCTAATAAGGACTGCCAACATGCTCGCCAAACACTTACATCTCTGCGAGGGAGAACCGAGAACCAAGAGAACGATTTTGCAGCTCGACTGGACCAATGCCGTTCCGTCCTTTCTCGTGTCGCGGAGGAGTATGGTCGCTTGGCCACAACAAGCGTCGCTGCATCAAGTCATACCACACTTGTGAAGGACCATACCGCACTTCAATTACGTGCATTCCGGTTGGAACGAAAACTAGCAAACTCAGAAGGTCAAGTTGTTGAGCTCGCCAATCTTGTCCGCCACACTCAGGAAGAAAATACGCTCTTGTGTCAAGAACTGTGCGACACTCGGGAAGAAGCGGCTTTCCACTTGCAAACCTTGCAGGAGAATCAAGCTGTCCTCGGTTGCTGCTCTCACTGCACTGCGCTTCGTGAACTCCTTTGTCTGGAGGGAGACATCGACCAGGGCGAAACAGACATATCTAAAGAAACCATAGCGGTCCAGGAAAGTGCTCTGGCGTGCACTAGGACTATATCCGATTTCTATCGCTCTCATATTGACGAGCTACTTTCAGAGTGTTCTTGCCTTCAGGGCATTCTCGAGAAGCAGCATGAAATTGACCGTGCACTCATCGACCAACTTGGTCGTAACTCAGTCGAAGTGGATATTGTACGGGCTGAGCTCACCAAAGCACAGGTTGAAATCACCACCGGACAGCGCGCTCTGACTGACGCCCAAAATTCTTTGACGGAAGGCCGTGCAGAACAACATATGTTGCAGCGTCGAGTAGAAGAATTCGAGAATAGTATGCGAGACATGGCGACGAGCCACACACAAGCTTTACAGAGGGAGCGCGACACTTCTCAGAAGTTGTCCGTTGCACTCCATGTCAGCAAGACGGCTGAGGACGCTCTCAAGGCTGATATCGAGCAGTATGTATCCGCCGCCTGTACTTAGACCACAGAAAACTGACCTGAGAAACCTACACAGGTTGCAGGCAGAGCTGGCAGATTTGTCACGTTTCCAGGAAGCATACTATAACTTGGTGGATGAGACTGAAGCACTAGTGGCGAGAAACAACCTTGCAGAGGAGGAGGCCGAAAATCTCAGCAAGTTTAATGCTGAAATTCTTGGCCATAAAAATCCTGTTCAGAGGATTTTATACGTCGACAGGATTCGTCGGGAGCTCTCCGAGGTCAAGCAGGTATGCATCTTCATCGTCTCATCTTTCGCTTGACTTACAGCTACTAGAAACTACTCGTGTGTATCCGCGACCGGGACGCCATATCTGCAGCGAACGAAGACTTGTTGCATGAAATCATGATGTACAAGTCCGTCGCGGTTCCAGGAGATAGCAAGCCTCGGACGAATTTAACCCGTGTGACACGACCTCCCCTCATAAGCCAGAGCATGAATATCGTGGCAGCGACTTCCATCCCGCCTTGTGTTGCATCAGATGCACTAATTAAAGCAACCGTTCTAGAACACATACCAGGAGATATGACTTTGGATGAACTGATATAAGGTACCATGTAATTTATCTACGATGTGTATGTAAGTGTGAGTGATAAATACTCGTCTCAAACCCATCAAATATTCATCCGAGTCTATGCAAAGCTCCTGCAGTAGATCTATTCACAACAGCCAGCGTATCATAGAGTATGTATGTAGTACAGCAAGACATGTACTAGTATCGAAATCGAATATAATAATCATATAGACACAAGAGCCTTACATCTCCTCCTTCGCCACCGTAAACTGCCATGCACTGAGCCACGACGTCCAGATCACTCATGGAACCAACTATTCAAATGATCATTCTCGGACAAGCCGCATGCTCAAAGGCAGGTGAGGAGTTTCACCATCTCCTGCAGGTGCCTTCACTACCGGTATGTGGAAACCAGTCATTTTCCAGTGTATCTCCTTCACATTTCCGTTGTCGTCGGGTTCCGACGGCAGGGCAAAGTGAATGGCTGGCAGAAGAGTGGCCAACACGTCCTCTGAAATGCAAGCTCTTCAGTGCAAAGTCCTAATTACCAACATGTCAGATATCTCACTTATTTCCATTTCGGCAAATTTGAAGCCTCTGGGGGTTACGTATAGTGAGGACATATTCAGGTTCAGGAAAATTGGCATCTTACATGCAGGAACGATTGCCTGCAAGGAAGGTCATCCTGAAGGTCGTTTAGCGAGACGCACGTGACAAAACAACTTCTTGCGACACACATAGATGAATAAATACCCGGATATTTCACTCCGTCCTTGTCCCCAGGTGAGACCCCTAAAAGAATCTTGGTGAATAACTACGTCTCATGACTTGCGCAAAATGTAACCTTGAGAAGATTTGAGCCATCTATCAGGTTTCCATTCTGACGCATCTTCACCCCAGACAGCTTGATTATGATTCGCAGCAAGGATGGATATGACGAGTCTCTGGTTCTTAGCCACATGGATTACATCGATCTCTTCACCAGATGCAGACCGAACTGGGAAGTGTAATGGGACTGATGCCGATCTTGTAGTTCTTCAGAAGTGTCAGCAGGTACCGTCTCTCGACACTAAACTAACCTTCGAGTGAGAACAGGCAACGATGGATAGAGCCTTAATGTTTCTCGAACAACTGCATTTAGTAAAGGAAGATTCATCAATACATCATATGACAGCCTGGCGGATGCGCTTTCATCTTTGGCGTGCGAATGATCGGGGTCGGGAACTTGATATGCAGCCATAGCACCACAAATTTCTATCCTCAGTTGTTCCTGGATATGAGGGTGCTTTGCAAGCATGTACAGTGCACGAGCCACTGCTGCCGTCGTCGTCTCGAGACCAGCAAAAATCATGACGCTATCCGATTGAGAGGTCAGGTTTAGCCACGGGGAAGCAACTAGAACTGACTTCATCTGTCCCAAGAGCTCGGAATCACTTAGTCTATCTGCCTCGGAAGATGAGGCGTTTGCCCTGACTGTACGTGTCCCACGTGAGAATGAATACTGCATTGCCAATAATTACTCACCCATGATAGACATCATATCTTTCCCCGCTGTTCCTCCCAACGTGTCGTGGGCCTGTGATAGGGGAGGGGAGGGTAGCTGCAGCTGCAGCGCAGCCTTTTTCTCTTGAAAGATGGCCCTACTGGCTGAGTCCATGATTTCGACTATTTGGCGTAGCTCTCTAAGATTCCTCATAATTTGCGTCGGCAGCCAACTTATCGTCAGCCAGTCTAACATCTTTTTTCGCCAGTAAAGAGAGCAATTGCGCATAACTATCGGAATGATAGGACGAACTATCAGGGTTTTAGCGATGAATGGACTGTGAGACAGAGCATGTCAAGGGATGATTCCACTGGCAGGTTAGCCTACGCACCCTAACATTCGTAGAGCATTTGTATACTCGTCCTCATTTCCTGTCTCTAGTGCAGCTGAATGGTAGCCCAGCACGCCCTCGCAAATACAATCCAGAGAACTGCGGGAGAGCCAGGGTAACACATCGATTTCTACGGACTCCCTGCATCGTGCATGATCATCCTCACTGCGGGAAGAAAGATTTGACACGAGAATAGATTTTAGCTGATGGGAGATGGTTTGAATAACGGGCAGGAGCTCCCGCATATTGGCAGTGGAGAACACTGGATTGAGCATTTTGCGCTGCCTTCGGTGCTGTTCCCCTGTACTAGCAATGAAAAAAAACCATGATGATTACCAACAAGATTTACCTAGTGTCGAAATAAGACCGTCGCCGAAGATAAGCTTATTGCAACTCGAGGAGGGTCAGTGAAGGACGTTCGAGCAATACTTGACTCTTACGACAAAAAGCTGTCATTTTCTTCAAAGGTATGCTGCTCCTTGACAAGGATATGATGGAGCGCGCGTGGGTCTGATACATATAGCCATTCCTCCTGAGGTCTTCACATCAATAATCATGTCTTATGGAGGGTAATGCATAACGCGTACTCCAAATAACACAGGGATCCTAACAGCTCCACCAAACTCTGCAGCAACATCTAAGCAGCGTTGGAAACCGTCCACAAACATCCACTCCATGTTGCCTACAGCGATGAATGTGAGCATTTTGAACTGACCGCTAGAGAAAACTGACCTTTCCACCAATGTTGCTTATCTGGGCCTGCAACATCTAGGGCGTTTGCCTTTCTGGAGGCATGTCTCCGAACAAGCTTCCATGCTGCAAAGGTAAGCACACTGTATCCAATAAGTTGAGCGAGAGTCATCCTGTAATATGGTCAGTATGTAATTGTACTACTACCACACGGCCACACTGGTTGCCGCGATGATGGAAGTTCGGAACACGATTGTCGAGTGCTTAAGAGACCGAGCCTACTCGGGGCAATAGTCGGTTCATTACTATTAGTTCATTATTAACTGATTCGTTATCTGGTTTACGTACTACACGTCAAGCCTGCTTCCCAAGCGAACCGTGACATTTCGAGGATGGACTCCTGTCCTACCGTATGTACTTATACTCCAGTTAAGCTTGATATTATTGCACTGGCTTTTCAGCCTTGCATGTTCTGTTGCCTGAGGGTCCCGGCATTCAGAGTAGCAACATCACGTGACGGCAACGTGCCGGTGTGTGCCGGCCTTGGCCCTTCTGAATCTTATCGATCATTGATCGGGTAATGATGCAGGCGCCGATGAAGGAACGTTGTATATACGTCGCAGTGCACGGAGGGGCAGGATATCATGGAGTTGCGTCAGAACAAAGTGTCAAGAGTGCTTTGAAACGGTAATGACAGAAAACTCCGCGATATTATCTCAAACTCATCCGAGTCGTAATGACGCTAGTGCTTGTGCTCAAGCTTTGCGGGGATCACCACTAGATGACTCCTCTGCCCTTTCGGTTGTAGAGCGAGCCATAGCCGTTCTCGAGGATGATGAATACCTCAACGCAGGTACGAGTTCTTGTGGCACTCATCACAATAACGTTCACTGTGTCCGATCTTTCGCAACCTTTCATCAGGTTATGGTTCCAATCTGACAATTGACGGCACTGTAGAATGTGATGCGGCTGTCATGGACGGCTTGTCGGGAGATTTTGGCAGCGTTGGTGCTGTTCCGGGTTTGGCGACCTCCGTGATGACTTATCTTGCTGGCTGACCTTAGAAAGGCAGGACTAAAAAATCCAATAGAACTGGCATCGGCATTGTTGAGGCACTCCAGAGAACCTGACCCTCTTGGGCGCATCCGCCCCATGTGAGTAAAGGTGCCCCTTTCATGGAATGCGAGTGCTGAGTCCTGACGAGGACTCTTGTCGCATCCGGAGCATACTCGTTTGCATTATCGCAAGGTATCCAAACCGTTGCTCCAAGTGAATTGATATCGCCGCGAGCGACGCACGAGTGGCAGAAGTGGAAATCGCGACTGGATCACCCCGTTGATGGCGACCCAGGGAGCTTGTCTCAGGATACCATGCAGGACACGGTTGGCGCGGTAGCCTGGGATGATGAAGGCAATCTCGCTGCTGGTGTTTCAAGGTATGTTCTCAGACACGCTTCTAATGATTGAAGAGTCACAAATGGTATTTAGTGGTGGGCTGCTTCTAAAATATTCTGGTCGTATCGGCGAAGTAAGTCTACAGGTAATCTGACATGATGTGGTGTTCGGGACTGAACTGGACAGGCAGCTACCTTCGGAGCCGGGTGCTGGGCGCAGCAGTCGCGCAGTGAACGTTCTGGGATGGCATGCAGTATTTCTGGAGCAGGGGAACACATAATGCGATGCGGACTGGCCCGTGTGCTTGGCGAAGCCTTACAGTCCCAGCAATCAGATGATGGCGAGCTTGACACACACCACGTATTGCTTCGAATATTAAATCAGCAATTTACTGGTAAGCTTGCGTACTGCAGCAATTTGTGTTGCTCAACAAATCGTGGTCGTCATAGAACCATTGCATCAACGAGGGGAGCAGATGCCAAATGCAGGAATTTTGCTGTTAACAAAAGAACAAGGCGAAGATGATGAAGTAGTGCGCAAGTCATCCGCATAGCATCTTATTTGTTCGCCAGACATATTTATTGCACAGCAAGGTTATGGTGCGCGTTCACTACAGAAAGCATGGCGGTCGCGTACGCAAACACCACCACACGCTCACCTAAGGTAATCACAAAGCTGCTGGCGTATAGAAATGCTGATTATGACCATGTGCAGGCATCCATTTTGCGTCGTCCAGCATCGACTGACTCTGCCGTAAATGCAGACAAGTCGTCAGTGTTCATAACTGCACTGCCCATTCACCGGTAGCATCGTCCAGTCTGCATACGGAGGGTAACACTGTGTCAACGAATGCAATATATGATCTCAGTACATAACTCACGCGGTGCACTGTTTTTAGAACTAAATGTTTAAGTACCTCTATCCCCAGATAACGGACTGGGGGCGCACATTGAGTAGCTCTTAGATCTTCAGAATTTGTGCTATGGGCCCGAGCTTCTGGTGACGGGAGCGTAAGGTGGTCCACGCCCTGTGCGCACCGGTAATGCTATCGAGGACACGCTTGTCGTCTAGGGAGATGCGGTTGCGCAGCGCTGCAACTATGCCTGTGTTGTTCAAGTCCCAGTTCCTGGCGGCCAGAGGCTCGCGTGTCACATCAGGGCGAGCAATTGTACCTGTAGTGTAGCCCTCAAGGAGGTTTATGTGGAAAACCTCCAGCATGAGTTCGGACCACGAGGTCCAGTTGTTCTTCGCTCTGTCCAGGAGCTCAATCTTGTCGAGATCGGCTTTTGAGATACGACACGCTGTAATGGAGACAGCTGATGATGTAGGATAGTACGCATACAGGTTAGGTGCAGGGAGAGCTGGAACCGACGGAGTGGCTTGTGGCACGAAGGGAGGCACTGCAGAAGGTGTTGCAACATTAAGCAGGGGCTGCGGGTTTGTGGTTCCATCAAGATCGGTCCTCGCACGAGTATGGGGGGCCATTATGATGAGGGAAGAGGTTAAGTGAGTTGGGGTAAGGTAGTACAAGCCGCGAGGTATATATATGCGCGACTTGAGGATCCCTCGAAGAAGCGCTCCCAATAAGGGAAGGATAATGGTCTGAGCGCGGGGTATCGATATATCAGTACGCGCGCCCGCCGATGAAAACACGCGTTCGACACTTGTCAGAACGGCGCGTAGAGGAGGCCTATAAACAGTGTCTGGTAGTCTGACGCGTCTAGAGGTTCTGACTCCTTATGCATAGTCAGGGCTCATAACCTTTTAGAACTAAACGTTAAGTCAGACTTAGGTACAAGTTAGTGCACGGCGGGCGAGAGACAAAGTAAGAGACACACCCTCTATCCCCAAATAACAGACTGGGGAAAGAGGGTGGACACGAGGGTCCGGTCATATATAGTAGTAGTAACATTCCAAATGTTCAATCTCCGGCTTCGCGTCAACATCCAAGCTCCAACACTGTCATCTGCCCATTGTCATCGGAGACTGGACATCCCATTCGGTGGAGTGGAAGTTGGACGAGGCGATGCCGCGTTGTTCAAGTTGGCCAGCGGAAGTCCTATGCGTGAGTTTGCAGGAGTGAGAATGGGGCGAGCAGCATTGAGTCGTTTGAGTGTATTGATAGGGAACTTCGTTCTGTGTCCGTCAGGGTCAGAGTGGGCAGCCCGGGAACGAGGGTAGCTAACCTGCATGTAGAGCAAACCGGGAGTGGTTGACAAAAAACTGCAAGATCACAGGCTCCTTAGAATTCAGTGACAAAGCATAGAGATGATGCGTACTAGATAAACAGACTGAGCAGACAAAACCAATGTCCACAATGTTCTTGTGACAAAAGCACGCAGCGCGGAAATCAATCTTGTCTTGCTTTGGTACAGCTAGAATCTTGCGGATGGATGTTGGTGACAGGAAAGACATCTACGACAATGATAGCTGATGAGCGACAGAATTGACAGACGATGAGATAACATTACAATCAAATATTGCAGGAGTGCATCTCGGCGTTCCAGGTAGATGTAGGACCCGTTCGTTAGGTGAGCTGCTTGCTGCAAAAATACGGTATCGGGTCCATAGACTTTGCACACGTCAATTGTCACTTTCTGTTCCGTATCGCAGTCAGTCAAACAACATGTTGCTAAAGGGCGTGAGACATGCCAGTTTTTGTGCGGAGAAGATAGCGTTCATGATTGGGATGTACGAAGAAGACAAGTCAGGGGAGACTGAAAGGATTAAGATGCGAGGGTCGTGGACGATCGACGGGTCCTCTGCGACACCGGCTGTCGTTGATGAGGGATGGGTGATGCGGTTGATGTCTGGATATGGGTTAGGTCGTTGGCAGCGACACATTCTCTTTCACGCACAACACAGGGCCTTCGTCACAGCGCCTACCAATGCACATGAAGCTGTGATGCAAATAAGACGACACACGACAGATCAAATGTCCATCACTCACGTTCTTCGTCGAGCTCTCCGATAGCATCAAACTCATTCATGATCCTCTGTACAACTGTCGAGTCCACAAGCTTGAATGGCAGATACGAGTTAGCATCCAATGAGGGCACGTCATCCGAGAGCAGCTCCGTGGATGAATAGAGCAATACACTGTGCGTCAGCAGTTCATTAAGTGCTCGCTCCTGAGGATAGATCTCACCTCTTCCCAGGAAACGCGCCAAAGACTACAAGTGAGTTCTCATGCTTGGATGCGATATGCGCATTCAGAAATGCGAGGAGCTGCGAGAGGAACGTCTCAATGGAGAGTGGATACTGGTTTGAAGTTTGCGCAGAGAGGTGCCATTGCGTTGGAGATAGGTCTACTATCACGGATAAGTGAGATGCTTTCTCCATGGCTGAAATGATGCATGTCAAGTATTTTGTCCAGTTTGGTGCATGACTGGTACTACTACGGTACAGCCACAATAAGTATGCAGTTATCATGTTGCTTAAACCCTAAGTACGTATTTAAGCGTCCAATATCTGAATCTCTATCTGATGATCAACTGACGACTCCTGGTATATCAGTAATGCAAGGGTGAGATGTTTATAAGGAGGTTCATTATCAGCATTCACGAGCTTGAACCAACTGCTCCGAGTGTCAAGCCAAAAAACCTGTCTCTCTCCAAGCAGCTACCCACTTCCTCACCAGTCCATCATCAGCGATAGGTGCACTCGTGAGACTCTTACTTGCTTTCTCACTTTGCACTGTCAGCAATGGGTACCGCGTAGCCAGTTCCTCTTGTCCGTATTTGTTCTCAAAAAATGTCAACAGCTTCCGGCTCGGGTTATTCACTTCATCAATAGGGCTAGCGCGCAAAGCCTTGATCCACTCGTGCCTCGGGAGGGCTTTAAATTTCAGGCCGGTGTGTTGGAGAGACGAGAGGACGGACGTCCACGGCACAAGCTTTGGGTGAATCACGTTCCAAACAGGGCACTCTCCCAAGGGCAAACGTTGATGGGGAACATTGACCAGGTCGATGATAGCCTTTGCTGCGTAGTCCACTGGGAGCCACGAAACTGACTCGTCGAGATTGGGAAGAATTCCGATTGTATCTGTGCACTGCCACGGAATATAACAATCACATATATCATCGATAACGGTTTTTCATACCTTGATGATGAGTGAAATAGCCTCCGTCTCGTTCCACACGCCATTCTGAGAGTCTCCCACCATTTGGCCAATTCCTGCACGCGCTTCAGTGACTATTTCTCCTATGGTGAACATGTCTCACGTAGCACGCCCGCCCGAATAGGTGTCTGCTGAGAGGCAACTTGACAGAGCTTCTCAGTGATCCACTTCGATTGCGCACTGACTGAAGTCAGAAATCTGAGCGTCAACTGCGCGAGGCACGAGGTGCTCACTAGCCCAACCCCTGAGCGACAGAGGGATCGTCCGTAATGGCTTCTGGGATTGAGTCTGGTCCGTGCCAAGCTGCGACGGCACTAATCGAAGATGCGAAGTAAAAGTCTGCTGGTCGGGGATGAGGCGATGCAAGTGCCAGATTAATCAAATTGACAGCTCCACGTATGTGGGGTTCGAAGCTATTGCTCTGTTAGTCAATATTCATCGAATCGAGGTGGACTTGCCTAGAAATGCCAAGGTTGAAGTTGACCGCCCAAGCGTTCTGCACACAAGATTGACGAGAATAAACCAAGCAGTGTCTTTGATGCTTACATGAATGATCAGCGTTGCCCGTGTTGCGATCTCGTTGTACATGTCTGTCTGAAGTCCAAGCTTGTCGGTAGACAGGTCGGAAGCGAGAGCTTTGACACGCGTTTGAACCTGCTCATAACGAGATAATAGCTTCCTTGTCTTCATGGAAGCTGTTATGCGACTGGACGCATCTGCATCGTCCTCTGCTCTGCACAGACAGTAAACAATGGCCACAGAAGGGTCCGAAAGCAGTTCATCCAGAATATATGCTCCCAGAGACCCAGTCGCGCCAGTCAACACAACCTACATCAATATCGCAATCAGGCGTAGAATTTGTGGGAAGTGCAACAGGGAACTTACAACGCGAGGGGTAACTGAGTTGCTTGCGGTTCCATTTGTTCCGTTGGCATGAGCCTTTTGCGTATAAGCGAAAGAGCTGTACTTCTTAACAAGTTCCAGCACGATCTCGAGCGAGCTTCGTTGTGCTAGAGCACCTTCATTGCCATAGGACATTGCAATCAGGAGTCGAGCGATCCTGTATGTTTACTTTAGCCAAGGCTATATACAGCGTCATGCACATGCAAGGGATAAACGTACTGCGTGATGGAAGGATGTTCGAAAACAGTGTTGGGGGCCAGCTTCTTGCCATCTAGGTAGATCTCCTGCGCCGTTATTCAGCTTACAAGCAGCAATCAGCAGAACGTTTGAGCTGACTCTCTGAATGGTGTTTCGTATTCTGCTAGACTGCAACGAGTCTAACCCGAAATCGAAGAGGTCAGTATCATCTTCTAGGCTGTCGATAGGTCGATCGACCGTCTTGCCGATTACATCTCTAATGGCCGTCCTAGCATCTGCCTCATCGGTCAGTCGTCTCTTCCCATCCTCGTCGATGTCACCCTCTAGTCGTTTATAGACCTCATTGATGATGCCTTCGAACTCCTTGTACACCCGTGGTCTGATGATACTGCCCTTATCAGCACGAGGAATCACTGTGCCATGAGGGAGAAATACAAGTGCTTCCGACGCAAGCTGCGAATGCGAGGGAGCCTCAGCATTGGCAAGGGCGACGATAGGCGCGAAAAGCTTAGCGAGCTCTGAAGCAGAGCAGTCTTTTGCAATTTCGGTTGGAAGAATCAGAGCTCCAATTTGAATGCGGCCGGCACCGAAGATGATGGCATCCGCAATATAGGGAGATGAACGAAGTGTGAGTTCCATCGGGACAGGATTCGTCTTCTCGCCGTTAACCTGGGCATGTTGGTAAATAAAAATTATCTTGATCTGGTTTAATATCCATACCATGACCAGGGTGTCGTCGATTCGCCCCATGAACTTGTATGCGTCGGGGATGGTGGGATGCTTGATAAATAGATCTTTCGTTGCGTACGACCCATCGGGTCGGTTGCTCATAACCTTCGCTGGCAATTAAGACAATATAATCCAATGGTAGTATATATACTTGCCTTGTGGGGCCAGCCATCTAAAACGAGCAGCTCATAGATATCCGCGCCCAGAGGTTCGAATCGCAGGTAGTCGTTCACATTCGTATTTACATATGGTCCCTTAGCGCGCGTCCAATTCCAGCCTTTATCAGTCTCGAAGTCCCGGAAAGACGTCATGAGATGACCCGTTTCAGCTGCATTGAAAAGAGATATGCTGAATGTCAAGTTTCTCTCAACCTGTCAACATATCACTCACTAGAACCATAATGGCCTACCAAGCGGACACCCTCGTCGACAAGGAAGTCGCCGAGCTCGTCAGGACATGGACTACCGCTGAACGAGACAAGTTTAAGGCTCTTGAGGACCTGTAGACCTTCAGTGGTCCCAGCGAGGAGTTTCAATGCTAGAGGAACGCCGAATAGTGCCTCCACGTCTGGAGCTTGCTTGAGAAGCTTGATAACATTGGTAGACGTCAATGGCATTGATCCAGTTGGGAAGAGGTACAGCGGTTTTGCAGCACAGATTGCACGATAAAGATTGCGGTGGCCGTGCGCCTGTTCAAGGCGAAATAAGTGAATTCTGGTAAGAAATACGCACAACATACATGATACAATGGCAAGGTCGTTAAACTTGGAAGACCAAAATTCATGAGGGAGTTGCCGACGGCCGCTTTGTTGGTTGCAGTAATCGGCTTTGGGAAACCAGTGGACCCGCTCGAGTGGATAACCGTGACTGGAAGAAGATATTCATCCTCCCACTTTAATGCAGGGTCCCATCGCGTCTTCTCTGGGTGCAAAGAACGAGCGGCTGAGCTGAAGACGTCAGATGAAGGCTGGTTGATGATCGTCACAGAACTGGGGTTATCGAGATGTGTAAGAGCTGCTGCCGCGGAAGGTAATAGCGCGTCTTGCACTATCACGTGGGTTGCATTTGTCACAGTCAACAGGTGAGCAATTGCGGAAGGAGAGTTATTCGGCGATAAGAAAAGCACGCCTGTAGAAAGATTGGCAAAGTCAGAGCAAGACTTCCATATGTTGTGCACTAACAGTAGCCCATTCGATAAAGCGCCATCTCGGTGACTACATAACTGATGTTGCTAATGCCCAGAAGTCCAACGGTCATCCTACTGGTGACATCCCCTTTGGAACGTCCATTCAACAGTCCATTGTCCCGTAGGTGGTGGGCAAACAAGGACGCTGAAGCATCAAGGTCGGCCAGAGTATACTTGACATACTTCACGGCTGCTGTGAGTTTTACACAAAATTTTAACAGTACGTCGTACTTACATTGAAGTTCTTGTCTGGTATGCTTAGGATCTCAAGGTTTGGGTGATCGCGAGTGCGTTCAGCTATAAGGTGATTGAACGAATATATCGTGGACATTTTTGTGGCAACTTGAACTTCAGACCTGTTTTAAAGAGTCCACTCGAGTTTGTAGCACCCTGTTATGACTCCGAGCTAGCTCGGTTGCCGCGATTACCTCGAACCAAAAGTCCGAACATCTCACATGTAGGGATGCTCAATCCCAGTGAAAACCTACGGGTGGCGTATCTCGGCACATCTAGGAACAAAGTTGAACGTTGAAATTTGACGCAAATCTTGTGTGATCGTGAAAATGGCTAAAGAATCTAGAGTTGGTGTAGTTTAGCTTTTCGTTTACCATGTATAGCCCTTTGCTTTGCACAATTAAACAAGCTCAGGGTGAATCACACGGAAAATACATCACATAGTTCTATGTACAACTGTCTTACAAATATAAGCTATAGCGCCAGCTAAAGTGGCAACACCCTCTACCTGTCTCGGCATTCTCCCCATTTCATCCAAATTACGTGTGCAATATTACATCGTGCTATCCTGTCACACTCCTCATTATTTACAACTCATTGTCCTCCTCTCACAACTCATCACTGATATGAGCACAAGCGACGCGAGAATCGGCCGCATAAAGTGTACATTTACCCCTCGATACATGGTCAATAATCCTATCCAACAACTGATCCTTCGTACCCACAAAACACAAACCATGCCAAGACGATATAGCTTCCAAAGAAGGCTTGGACATATGCTCTGTCTTGGAAAACAACGACTGGAATGATTGAGACACACGCTCATATGCGCCGCGGCTACTAAAGATATTCAGAATGCTAATAGCTTTTTGCCTAGTAGGATGTGCCACTTCTTGAATGTGAGTGGACTCTACATCATATTACAAATGCTCTGCGCAATAAACCAAAGGTCACCGCCTGATATAGCAGAAGCATCCACTGACGTCAACTCGTCCAGTATGAACACGGCTAAATTTGAAGGCGTGGCAAACCCTGCGGCGACCTCACGACATGCAGTGTAATCACGATGCTTGGAGTGTGTGTCCGAAATGACGCATTCCCCATGGAGTAGATGTTGCAACAACTATTTTTGCAACTCGAGCAAGGGATATATGGTCTAAACTGTGCAGAACACATGCCTGCTCACGCAACACAACTTCGGACGACAAAGGACACCATCGGACCCCTGAACGACACGATGCAAAAAAAATATCATGCACAATGGGCTCTGAACGTCTACGAGACAACAAACCTGCCCCTGCGAGGGACAAAGACTGAGATAAATCAATGGGGCCACTGACAGCGGATTCTGGCAAATGGCTTGCATCACCACAAAATATACACGAAGTTGCTAGAAATGCTAAACATCAGAAAGATACCAGAAGATTGAGCGGTGAAATGCTATCACCTTGAAATTTCGATGTACCGTGAGAATGAGGATTATGCATGGGATGCTCATCTTCCCAACCAACAGTGCGCCACGCAGTAATCCAATTCATCCCAATCAAAGCATCACATTGAAGACTGCGCAAAACCTCGAACTCAATGTCAGTCGTGGGGGCATGGCCATCGTAGGAAGCTGTGAGAATCTCAGAAAACCGAGAATCATTAATCAGGTGCTGAATAGCCAAGATCATGAGCAACAGAAGGAGCTACAAGACAACGCGACTCGAATCAGTAGAAAAGATATCGGAAACAGGCAAGCGGCCGATGAACGAAGTCATGATGGTAGGAACGCAAGAGGGGTGTTAAGGTGATCGTGCAGGAGGGACCTAAAGGTGGTGTGGACCAATCAATCAACACAGCCTCGTTACCATCCAAGGCGACAGTTGCCATCTAGGGCAAAAAAGAGAGGGGCGACGAAATCATGAAATCTACCGCCAAAACTTGGAAATAGCGAGCTATAAGACCCACTCCCTAAAGGTAGCGGGAGTTTTCCACATCAGTACTGTTGGCCTTGATTGCATTGGCAGCTCTTTCTTTTGTTCTCACCATCACTCATATCAGTAAACTTCACAGAGTCAATAATGTCTGCCCATGGATTGTGAGGGACGTCCAAAACTTTGAGAAGTGTGAGGCAGATACAATGCTGCAGGAACTCCTTGCAAGATGCACAGGTCCCTCTCAAAGCCTTTCTGTCAGCAAGAAATCGAAGCTACTCGAAACTGCTCTCAATGCTGTCCTGCCTATCTGCAATGTGGGGGCTGTAGCGCAGGAGATAAAGGGACACTTGACTAATTTGTAAGTATTTTGAGCAGTGCAAAAGAAGACTGACATTATTGTCAAGTTGCAATATCGAGGGCGAAACATCGACATACACTTCTTTCATCAAAGCCGCCAACTGTGCGCTCCATAAACCAAGCAAGATGAAGGTACAAGGAATATCTGCATTCAAGGTCGACAACAATACCAACATTCTACTCCATGTCAATGATCCAAAGCCCATATACCAGGACCACCAGGACAAACAGTCTGAACGCAAGCCTGACATTGTTGTTGTCTCTCATCAAACTGACCTGGGTACAAAAGCACAGGAAACGCGAGAATCCCAGGTTCACAATCGCGATCTCATGGGGTACCACTTATGCGGTCAATTCATGGCTGTTCTCAACAACTACTACAACTTATTGTCGTTCAAACGTGATGGTCCCAGGGGCCTTGGGCGCACAAGAATGGTACCATTCATGGCGGTAGACCTTCTCACATCAGATGGCCACCTGGGTCTGTCTTCGGTATGAGGAGAGCAAACTTCTCAGTACAAACATATCTCCATGTTGCTATCATCATTACCACACTTGTATCAGTATTCCCACAGTCCATACCATGTCTGTATGCAATACATTTTCTCCAAGATTCTGATAGATTGAGCAATATGTACAACAAATTGGCCCATCTACTGTAATCTTGTAACACAAGATAGCCCTAGATCGATGTAACAACTTGCTGTTTCTGATCTACAAAATGGCTAAACTATCTAGGACTATCTAGGACACTAGATGTGGTGAGATACGCCACCCATAGGTTTTCACTGGGGCTCAATTCTTAAATGTCATTGTCCTTTGCAAGCCAAACACTTAGTAAGCGTCGCCAAACCTGTCCTAGATGGGACTTGTACCTAACCCTTGTTAGAAAGTAGCGCGCTAAGATCAAGCAAGTACTGGGGATGGGCAGTGCTCGGTCAATTTTAAACTCCGCCCGTGATTTGCTTTGCACTGCGTAGAGTCGAAACAAGTGTCCAATAAAAAGATCGACTGACACTACACTACCACAACAATCTGACCGAAAGTTTGTATGGAGAAATATGCGTGGATTAATGAGACTTGGGTATTCTATGGGAAAAATGTGTAAATGGTGCTGTCCTTGGGAGGATCACTCACTACAATGGCATGAAATGCACTGTTTTTTCAAGTTTTTTTTCATAGAATACAAGGATTGAGTAAAAAGAATACATTTCACCTAATTTTTGGGTGACATGGGGGGTTGCACTGCTGGCAACCAGTCGATCTTTGAGCATAGTAATGAGTGTACTGACTCAGTGCAAAATGACGCGACACGACACATTTAAACATGTCAAGAAAAGGATTAACTGTCCAATGCAGCACCGATACGTCAAAAGGGACCACTATAACCCGGTAAAACAGTGTTCCCCAACACAAAAGGCTCATCTTACACACTTAAACTCTAGAACAACTGTCGAAAAGGAGAATAGTCCTCCTGCCAAGACCTGTACTAGTGCAAGGGACAGCAGTCCAAGTCCTGCAATCATGGCACACCTGTGAATTCAGCTCAACACACAACATCAGAAGACCAAGACATACGAGAGGCATTACCACAGTGAGCGCAAGTGGGCCTCGTGAAAGGAAAATGCTGCTGCATGTCTTCAGGAGCAGCTGCACTCTCTGCAAGCTTCGAGCTCTGATATTGCAGCAGGAGCTCAGGCGGCTGAGGCACAGCTTGTGGACACTCTACAAAGTGTCAATTGCCTCAAGAGTCGTAATGATACACTCACAAAACAGAACCGTGCACTGACTATGCGTGCAGCACGTGCATCTGCAGCGAAGCATCACGCCATCGAGAAGACACGCATTCACAGCACACAGCACAGAGGCCACTACAAACTTGTTTGCACTAAAGGAGAAAGGCATCTTCACAGACACTTCCCGTGCCATGGTGCGCAATATGGTTGCCACCCTAGATGTACCTATACGGAGTGTTAATGCCACCATTAATGCTGTGGCGGAGGCACTTGGTGTTGAGATCACTGGTTCTGTTAGTGGACATAGCATCCGTCGAATAGTGGCCGAGGAAGGAGTGGCTGCTGAGGCTCAACTTGTTGACGAGATGAACATCGCAAAAGGCACTCGACAGCAAGCCTTTCGAGTGCCCTGAAGCATTTTATGCTATTCAACGTCTTGCACTGGATCACAAAATGTATCCTCACTTCCCTCAACTCCTGGTTACCTTTTTCCAGGGGGCTCTTGACATGTGGATTCAATTTTCTGCTGAGTTTGCAGCTGGTGGAGCAATCGATAAGTCATCCCCTTCCCAACGACAGACGGCACACATAAAAACCACCAATGATGACAATGAGGGTGCCCTTGGCACTATCCGCACATCCCTCTGCTGTGCCCCACACATGTCATTATCACATTTCAATTCTCATTTCATATACAAGAAGAATTAGATGAGCACGTACATTGAAAATGTTCTGGATGTTAGTTCATGCCAGAAACTCCGCAAAAAGGCTCGTGAAAGGGATGAGAGTGGCGAGGAGCGTAAACGGTGGTTTGCACAGGTCAAGTATGATAAAGAGGTGGTGCGGCAGCACCAGGAGCAAGATATCAAGAAATGAGCACACTGTGATGCTGCAGGAGCAAAACTTGATGCAGTCGTCCCACATCTCACACTTGAAGATATCACAAAGCTTCGCACCCCAGAGATAGACCTACAAATTCGTTGGCATTATCAATTCGACCCTGCAGTACCGGCAGCCAAACACATACCAACCACGAAACAGAAGAAGGTGGAAGTGCTGCTGGAGGCCGTCGGACAGTATTTGAGTGGTGAGGCAACCCCCGGTGGACATCCAATGTCTTCGCAGCTGCAAGCGCTAGACAATCATGCTGTTACATCCCACTCGCTGGAACTAGGGGATGGGGAGGACGAAGCTGAGGATGAATGATGGTTAATTTTCTTGCCAAGTTGTTTGATGTTACCTTATACAGCTGATATTATAATTTCTTCATACGTGTAGTTGTAATTGGCATGCGCTAGTCATACTCTTGATACATTCTTGATATTTGCCATTGTCATATCCCGCGTTCCGGACCTGGACCTATCACACACATCATTTCCGGATGTCCGGATCCGGCCGACGTCTATCTATGTCCGGATCCGACCCGCGTCTAACTTCCGTGCCTTATCCCTTTGTATGTTCCTACTCCAGTTAGACCATATCATTTTCCGTACCTCATTTCATTTCCGCCTTTATTTTCATCTGTTCTAATCTCCGGGTTCATTTACTATTTTCCGATAGACTAGCGTTTGACTTTTCTATACGCTCCGTCCACAGCTTTGTACAGCTTCGGACTGCGCATCTCTGTTCTCTGATAAGTCCTCAGTAGTATATAAACCCTGTAGAATCTATGTACATCCTCAGTTCAAATATCATCTTAGACTCTGCTCATTCTCTCCTCCGCCCGACTTGAGTTTCTCTCTCGTCGACCTCCGCTCGTCTTAGGATTGACTCCTATAGACTTATCACCTCCGCCTCTACCTTTGGTAGTCCTCCGCTGTTTCCTTTCTAGTTCGGACTTCGTCCGGATTAGTCTTATCTCTTGTTCCCGAACGTCCGCCGGAATTCCCGCGTATCGGACATCGGACTCCGGACATCGCCCGACGCCCTCCGGACATCGTCCGGTAACCTTCGGACATTGTTCAACAGCCTTCGGAAGTTAGGGGCATGTACTCGGGTAAGGGGTGCAGCGCACGAGCTGAAGCCAAGCCCTTCGGATCCGACCCTTGAGCACGTTCTTAACAGTATATTCGAACTCACACCTTACCGAGTATACTTACATCTGACTTCATGGCACCTACACGGGCGCAGACCGCTCTTAATGCAGCGGGTGTTGTAACCGCCCGACGCGACTCTACTCCCATAGTCGATGCCTTCCTCAGTTTCTCACAGCGCCGCGCTAGTGCGCAAGGTGCTGCCTCCAGTATCTCACAACTCATGAATCGCCCACATCCGTCTACCCCCACCCCCACACCCGCCGGAAATCTTCCGCACAATGATTCCGACGATGAACTTGCCCTAGGCGGTAACCCGCCAGGAGGAGGTGGCGGAGATCCGGATGATGAACCTCCGGAAGACCCGACTGACGATGAAAACGAAGGTCTAGGTCCACAAGACTTGGTCTTCCTCCGGCTATCCCAAGCCATCAATAACCTGGCGCGTAACAACCGCCAATCCTCCGGATCCGGTGATCCTAAAGTCAAAGTCCGAGAACCGGATACCTTCGATGGCACTGAGCCCCGGAAACTCCGGGCGTTCTTTGTCCAATGTGAGCTTAACTTCCAAGCTAAGCCGAAATCTTTCCGTACCGGCCGAACTAAGGTCAACTTCGCGCAATCATACCTCAAGGGCATGGCCCTTGAATGGTTTGAGCCGGACCTCCTTTCGGATGATCTAGCGGATCGTCCGGATTGGATGGATGACTACTCCGAGTTCATGTTAGAACTCCAAACTAACTTCGGACCTCACGACCCGGTCGGAGATGCGGAAATGCAGCTGGAACAGCTCTATATGCGCGACGGACAGCGCATCAACAAGTACGTTGTAGAGTTCCAGCGGCTAGCTTCCCAAGTCCGAGGTTGGGGCGACGGAGCTCTGCGCCGTCAGTTCTACAACGGACTTCCGGCTCGCATCAAGGACGAAATCAGTCGTCAAGGAAAACCCACCACTCTGTCCCAATACAAAACTCTCGCCCAGACTATCAACGCTCGATACTGGGAACGCAAGGGAGAAGTCTCCCGCGAAACCAAACCCTCCGCATCCGCGCCTCCTGCTAAGCAGTCAGCTTCCACTTCCGACTGGAAAGAGTACTCCGGCGGAAAATCCGGAAATGCTTCGGCTTCCTCCTCCGCCAAACTTCCGGACTTGACGTCCAAGCTCGGAAAAGACGGCAAACTCACCTCCGAGGAACGCCAGAGGCGCATGGAGAAGAAGCTCTGCCTCTTCTGCGGCGGACCCGGTCACACTGCCCGGGACTGCCTAAAGTCCACTTCCCGTGCGGCCAAAGGTCGTGCTAGCACGGTGACTCCGGAAGCCAAACCGGAGGTCTCGGAAGAGACAAAAAATTAGTCCGCAACCCTCCTGACTCCGCGCGGGACGAGGGTTGCATTGACTCAACCCGTGCAATGGAGCTACGCCTCAATGCTATTTCCTTTTCCGATCCGAACTCTCTAGTACCATCCGTCTCTATTTCTACTTTTCCCGATATTTCTCCGTTCCCGGCTCTAGTAGATTGTGGTTCCTCCCATTGTTTTATAGAAAGCAAGCTAATCCGAGAAAATAACATTCCGACCTATGCAATTCCTCCGCTTCCGCTCCATCTGTTTGATGGTACTTCTAATGCCACTATTACTGAGGCAGTAGATTTACCAATCCGGTTTCCAACCGGCGTGGTTACCTCCGAAACATTTTATGTTACTCCGCTGGACTCATCCTGTTCCATCGTTCTAGGATATAGCTGGCTCACCCGACACAATCCGTTGATTGACTGGGTAAAGGGCAGCATCGATTTCCGTCTGATTCCTCATGGAGTGCCTCCGACCCCTCCGACCTCTTTTCCGCCGGCTCCAGCGGAAATCCCTTCCTCAACCTCGCCGAGTCCCTCCACTGATAATGCCGGTCCTAATATTTCCCTAATCAATGCAGTTGCCTTTTGCCGGGCCTGTAAATTAGAGGGATCGGTCCAGTTCAGTATTTTTGTTCGTCCGTCCGGTGTCAATCTCCGCTCCGCTACACTCTCCTCCGAACCTCCGAACCTATCCGGAATTCCTTCGGAATATCACGAGTATGCGGATGTCTTTGATAAGGGCAAAGCCGGACAGCTCCCTCCCCATCGTCCATATGATCTAAAGATCGAATTGGAAGAAGGAGCGGCTCCGCCCCTTGGCACCATCTATTCCCTTTCTCCGGTTGAGCTTGTAGCTCTTCGCAAATTCCTTGATGAGAATATTGCGACCAGACTTCTTCGTTCCTCATCCTCTCCGCACGGAGCCCCTGTCCTATTCGTCAAAAAGAAGGACGGCTCCCTACGCCTCTGTGTAGATTTCCGAGGACTCAATAAAATCACAAAGAAAGACCGCTACCCGCTTCCCCTCATTTCCGACCTTCTCGATTCTCCGAGCCGCTGTAGAAACAACAATACTGAGTGGGGCTATACGAAGATGGCTCCAAACTGATATATTTTTGTTGTGGTCTTTGCACTGCCTAGTTTGCTATACTTGCCTGACAAGTGCGTTCGACCCAGGGGTCTGCGATCTGGGAATAGTCTTGGGGGTAAGTGAGTAATGTGGGGTCAATAGTCCGAGCGCGGGAAACAATGTCCAAAGGTATAATTACGATGTCCGATGCAAAAGCGTCGGGTCCGATGTTTTCGGGGTTTCGGGTTATCGGGTTCGGGTTCGGGGTGTCGGAAACTAATAGTAACACTATAGCGAGCGTCGGAAGAGCGAGCGGTGTGCGCAATAATAACAATGACTGATACGGATAATGAAAGAGCGATGATATTCGCAATATCAACTAAGAACTACAAAATATCGGGTTTGACCACTAAGCGTCGGGGAACTGCTCCCCTCTACTTGGATAATGAATAATGCTCGAGGTCAGTCCAATATATATGTAAGTACGTAGAAATGCGGAACCCGTAGGCGAAAGTAGCGGCGGAGTATTTCGGATCCAAAGTACATGTAAATAAACATGAGGCGCTGCGGACTATGGGAAAACATGTAATAGCGCTGGCTACAACGTGAGTAATGTGCGAATTAATGAACTACACACCTAGTGGGGCTAGCAAGACGGAACGGGACACGGATAGGACAAGTGCGCGGGAAAACATCGGGTCCGATGCGGCCTAAACGTCGGGTTGGCGGGTTAGCGTCGGATAACATCGGGAAGTGATTAGCATGTGACAGGTATTTGGCGTGTACTGTGAAATAGCTCAATACGAGCCCAGCGCCAGCTCGTGTCCTACACCGCGCTAAAGTTTACACTAAAATCGACCTCCGGTCCGCATACCATCTAGTCCGGATGGCGGAAGGAGACGAGTGGAAAACTGCTTTCCGAACGCGCTATGGCTCGTATGAATGGTTGGTTATGCCGGAGGGTCTCACCAATGCTCCGGCGGCTTTCCAGCGCTTTGTCAACACCATCTTCGCCGATATGCTTGACATATGTGTTATTGTGTATCTCGACGACATCCTCATTTATTCCGCAGACCTTGCATCTCACAAACAACACGTCCTTGAAGTTCTCCGACGCCTCCGGAAGCATCGGCTATATGCTAAACCGGAGAAGTGTGAATTCCATTCCGACTCCGTAGAATACCTCGGTTACCTCCTATCTCCGGCCGGACTTACAATGTCCTCCGACAAAGTCCAGACTATCTGCGACTGGCC